TGGTAACTGTATATCTAAATTTAAATTAAATCTTAGCAACTTAGCCTAACGCTGCCCTCTTATGCATGTTTTTCTTATTTCCACTGTTCATGTTTGAATCAGAGACCCTGTGAAGATTCATGTTTACATCTTTTCCTAAACAGAGGGTCTTTTATCTTGAAATAGAACACCGAAAACCAGTAGATAAATACTAAACCTCACTGAAATATTAATATTACAGTAGCTCAATGACAGTTTGCAAAGCTTTCGATTGCTCTCTTCTTAATTTTTTTTTTCATTCAAAATCTGCTGAGAAATAATCCTTTGTGATCTTAAGAGGGTCTACCTGCACTTTCTATTAACACCCAGGTAAACACAGGCAGGTTCCTGAACTGCCACAAACTCTCTGAAGCCATTTACTAGAAACAACAACACATGTACCAAAGCCTCTACTGACTCACATTCAACTCTCTGAAAGAACAACATACATTATCTTCAAGATCTAAAGCCAATACTAGAATTGGCTCTCACCCACAGAGTAGTTAATAGTATCGGTACTAATTAAACCTTTCCTGTAAAAACGGTCTGGCCCACATCCTGTACAGTATAAGAGAATATCCCTTTGGCTACCAGGCCCCCCAAAAAGAGAATCCTTATGTAGTTCAACAATCATTTATGGCTGGCAACTAATTTACCCTCATCTTCTTTGGGTTCCAGATTTCCCTTCTGGGCATTTGCGATCTGTTTCATTTTTTATTGTTCTTGCTCTTTCGTTTTAATCTAAGGCACCCAGAATCATCTGGACTTGGGTGCCTTCTAATTTAACCTAATTTAGATTAAATTAAGTTAGTCATAGGGCGTGGATTGGCACAATCCATGCCATAGCAGGCATCAGTTTATAGTATTGTAATGCTGGATAATGAGTCAGCCCTGATCATTTCCCAGCTGTAAACTTAAAACATTTTGGAACTAAAGCATATATCTTCATAAATAGCTGGATCTAAAAGGCAAATAATCAAGTAGGAGAATCTGCTCTTCCAAACTGCAATTACGTTCCTTTTCTTTAAGCACTTTTGCAATTGTGATATTTAAAAAAGGGAAACCTATACACGCATTATATGTTATATAAATAAACCCACTTCCTTATAGGCTTATGCCCATCCTTATACAGGCTGTAACCATAAAGCTTATTAAAAAGAGGAGGATGAACAAACTAGATGAAAATCAAATCTTGCGGCTAAAAAGTGCTCGAGACACAAGTAGAGAGGCCCAATGGTTGGGGAGACAAAGCAGAGATCCGGCGATCAATGGCTGTTCTCAGAGCGATTCAAGGAGCTGGCAGTGGGAGGCAGAGGGTGGGGAGAGAGAGAGAGAGAGAGAAAAGGAAGGAAGGAAGGAAGGGGGTGTGGATATTAGAAAGAAAAAATGAGACAGGTTAGATCTCAGAACTGAAGAAAAGCATCACCAAGTAAAGATAATCATTTCTTTGCTGAGAAGAATGACATTACCTATAGATTATGGAATCATTACAGATAGTCCTCAACTTACAACCATTCATTTAGTGTCTGTTTGAAGTTACGCACTGGAAAAAGTGACTTATGGCTGTTTTTCACACTTACAACCATTGCATGGTCCCCCTGACCATAGTATGAAAATTCAGATGCTCGGCAACTGGCTCATGTTTATGACAGTTGCAGTGTCCCGGTGTGTGTGTGTGTGTGTGTGTGTGTGTGTGTGTGTGTGTGTGTGATATGATCACCTTTTGCGACCTTTTGACAAACAAATCAATGGGGAAGCCATTCACTTAACAACCGGGTTACTAACAACTGCAATGATTCACTTAACAACTGTGCAAGAAAGGTCTTAAAAGGGGGCAGAACTGACTTAACAATTGTCTCGTTTAGTAACAGAAATTTTGGGCTCAATTGTGGTCCTAAGTTGAGGATCGCCTGCAAACCCTTGAGGTTGGAGTATTACTACACAGGTAGTCCTCAACTTATGACCTCAATTGGGACAGGAGTTTTGATCGTTAAATCAAGACGGTTCTCAAACCGAGGCAACCACGTTACCCGATCCATTATTACAACTGTGTTTGCTGTGGTGGTTAAATGAATCACGACGTTAAGGCCAAATCCATTATCTCTGAATGGGCATTTTTCCAGCAAAAAAAAAATTGCAAGTTGTGGTCCCGTGATCCTGCAACTGGCTGTAAATGTGAGACAGTGCCAAGCACTAGAACTGTGATCACCATCGACGGATGGAAACTAATCAAGGAGAGAAGCAATCTAGAACTAAGGAGAAACTTCCTGACAATTAGAACAATTAACCAGTGGAACAACCTGCCTCCAGAAGCGGTGAATGCTCCAACACTGGAAGTTTTTAAGAAGAGACTGGACAGCCATCTGTCCAAAATGGTGTAGGGTTTCCTGCCTGAGCAGGGGGTTGACTCAATGACCTCCAAGGTCCCTTCCAACTTTATTATTAGTATTAGTATTATTATTACTTGACTGTGGGGGTGGGGGTGACATTTTACAACAGCCAGAAGTACTCTATGCACTGTATAGCCTTCTTTCCAAGGTTGCCATAACTTCGAATGGTAATTAGATATCCAGTCATAAGTCAAGGACTGCCTGTACTTTAGTGATAGCAATAGTCACAAAAAGAGTCAATTTGATAGTTGGTTCTGAAATCTTAGATCACTAATATTATCTGGTTTTGCCTATTCTACTCTTGAAGCACTCTCATTTATATGGAAATTTAGAGAAGCAATAACAAAGGCCAAAATGCAAAGAAGTTTGCTCAATTACAGCTCAGTGTGTTGTGTAAACACAGTCAATTATAGTTTATTCAATAAGCCAAACTTAAGCCATGAGCAATGTGTGAATGAAGTCAATGGTTCTCAAGAGAAGCAACTGCACTAAAAACAAAAAAAATTACATGGAAACAGATTTAGGTTACTCTGTTAAAATAGGCTTTGTTTAAACAGATTAATAAATCTGGGTCACCAAAACGACCAGATTTCAAGCTGGTATTTTATATTAAGACAAACACACAAGTGATTTCCAATCCTGGATTTGCCGAATGCAACAAGAAAATATATTTGCAACGTGGCATCCTCCAAAAACATGGGTTGACATGTCCTATCATTCTCAGCCAAAGTAGCCAAATGTTCCTATGACTGAGGATTACGAAAAACATCTGAAATCTAACACTTTTGAAGGATTTTGGCTGTGGTTTGTTCTCCAAGCTTGTTTCAATATAATTTCTGAACGTTTCTTTACCAAAATAGGTAACATCTGAAGGATGTCAACTTGGACTTTGGTGAAAGTATTTCTCCTAAAGAGCCTTTCACATCTTCCAATGTCTAATACACTTCTTCCCAGCATTAAAGCCATTACAGCAGGGGTGTCACCTCTGCATTACAGCATGCCACTGCCGAACAAGCTTCTAAATCTGTTTAAAAAAATCCTTGGAATATGCTCAATTGAAAGTGTTGGCATCTGGCCTACACTGTCTTCACATGGTTAAGTAAACCATTAACAGCCACCACAGACAGAATGTAAATAGTAAAGGAAACGTTTTTAGTATGCACTAAGAATTATAACAAAACATGCAAAATGGCACGTGCAATGCAACACAGACAGCTGAAAGATGTACAGAATGACGACAAGTTCAAGGATGTGTCCAAATTCTGCGCTCAAAAGTTACACTTATTGAATAAGTCACAGAACATTCCGCTTTTCACTTCAGCTAAACAATTTTTTTTTTAATATCATAAAAGAAAGTGAAAATGGAGAGATCTGAGGTTCGGTGGCATTGATTTCACTTCTTTTAAGCCAAAAATTCTCCATGGTCCTCCATTACCTTTGCTGCCATCCTGGTTCACAAGACTACCTAAGCCAGGGATCCCCAACCCCGGGCTGTGGCCCAGTACCGGGCTGTAGCCTGTTTGGAACCGGGCTGCAGAAGTGGCAGGCATGCACATGCACAGCTCCATTTGCACAAGCAGCGGGTGAGCGCATGCATACACACTCAGCTCCATTTGCATGAGTGGCGGGCACACATGCCCACCAATTATAGAAATGGAGCTGCGTGCGCTTGTTCAGCCACTGCTCGCACTGAACAATCTCTTCTTCCCCCCCACTGGTCTGCAAAGCTGGAAAGGTTGGGGACCACTGACCTAAGCAATCAAGCTTCCACTATGCTGTGATCTTGTGATTCCAGGAAAAGAAGCCACATTACGATTATTAGGCAATAGTAGGGATACATTAGGCCAGGGGTCCCCAACCTACAGTCCGAGGCCCAGGACTGGGCCGTGGGTTCTTGGCCAGCGGGCTGCAGAAATGGCTGGCCGATGTGCGCACCCGTGGGTGCACATTCCCCCCTCGCACCCGTGGCTGTTTGCGCATGCGTGCGGGTGTGAACGGGAATGCTAGCACAGGGTCGGTGTCCGCAGCCCATTCGCGCATGCCAGCACATGCACAAACAGGGCTGCTCGTGCTGCGCCAGTGTGTGTAGCCCCGTATGCACATGCACATGCACGCACACCAATTTTGAAGCTGCTCTCCTTCCCTCCGGTCCTCGAGCCCGGAAAGGTTGGAGACCTCTGCATTAGGCAACAAGAAGAAACTGAACCAGAAAAACAATTCAACTGTTATTTGGCCATTAAATGTTCATCCTTCCTCCTTGTGCTTCTAAGTTAGAGTTGAAGGATTTCTGTATGGGACTGGAAGCAAAAGGAGTGAATGCACCTTGCGTTCATAGCATTTATGTGTCTACTAGAGCAGTGGCCCCTGAGAGAGGTTTTTCCACTGGACTGGAGGGGCTATGGTTTTGTGTGCTGCCTGCAGCCCGAGGATGGGACTTTGCTTGTTTGTGCGGCCCGTTTTCTGCCATGGTGGGGACCGGTGCTGGTCCCTGGGCTGGGGGTTGGGGACCCCTGTACTAGAGGATCAGTGTTTCAACATCCCATTAGCCTTGTGAGTAAACTAGAACTCTCCAGAATGCTTCTCCCTTCCTACCTGGTTCTCCGTCTCTGTGAAAGCAAGTTGCCTGGATCACCATTGATCAGATGTTGGGCAGCTGCATGTGGGGGACAGAGACGCAAGTTCTTCAGCAACTCTTGCTCGTTGAGAAAAGGTTTGAGGCAGCCTCGCACTGGAGAATTCCCCACACTGCTAGAGCGGGTCAGTGCCCGAGACTGGTTAAAGGGCCAAGGTGGCTCAGTCTCTTCCTTCAAGACTACAAGAAAGAGTAAATAAACAAAAGGGGAAAATACAATTCAGTTCTTAACCAGACTTAATATAGCCTAGTACAGGGGTCCTCAAACATGGCCCCTTTAAGACTTGTGGACTTCAACTCCCAGAATTCCCCAGCCACGCACACTGGCTGAGGAATTCTGGGAGTTGAAGTCCACAAGTCTTAAAGGGGCCAAGTTTGAGGACCCCTGACCTAGTAGATAGAAGGATAGCACACAGAAATTTACAGAAATAAGATTACTGCCTAAGTAGACTTAGGCTTAGCCGACTTAACATAACCTAGTAGACAGAAGAAGGATCTGTCTGCTAATCTAAATCTTACTATCTACTGTCTAATTAGTTGAGGTAGAATATAGTGTAGGGTCACAAGAGGGAAGGGCTCCTTCTCAGAAGACAAAGAGACAGTCGAGTTTGGACTGTCTGGTAGGCAGGAGAAGGGTGAAGACAGACCCTCTCTAGCAGTTCACAGAGTGCATCTAATAGTTATGCAAATAGTTGCTTTACAGACAGTTGATTCTGTCTGTAGGTGAACAATAAAGAAATCTGAAGTGGGCACATTTTAAAGTTGATAACAAAGTCTAGGCAAAAGGTTACAAATTAGTTTTCAGATAACAGCTCTTCCTAGAAAACGCCAATTCAGATCTCTCCGATTCCTGCATATAGGATTGAGATTCTTCCTAACTGGAGGCAGTTTTAGATACCTTTTGGACACCAAATAACATTCCCATCCCAATCAGGATCATTTCATCTAACACAGTGTTTCTCAATCTTGACAATTTTAAGGCATGTGGACTTCAACTCCCAGCCATTGCTGGCTGTGGAATTCTGGGAGTTGAAGTCCACATGCCTTAAAATTGTCAAGGTTGAGAAACACTGATTGAACAGAAACAGAATGCGGCCACGAGAGCAACTTGGGGCACTTCAAGCATGGTGCATGTAATACTTTTGCTGCCTATGTTGCATTGGGTGCCAGTTTACTTCCGGATCCAATTAAAAGTGTTAGTTATTACTTTTAAAGCCCCACAGGGCTTGAGGCCAGGTTACCTAAGGAACCATCTCATTCCCATCACGCCAGCCCGTCCCACCCAGCCAGGCAGGGAGGGTATGTTACAGACCTGGCCAGTTAAAGAATTTTGATTGATGGGGTCCAGGAAGAAAGCCTTCTCTGCCATTGCCCCTACCCTTTGGAACATTCCCTCCCCAGAGGCGAGGTGGGCCCCCACTCTCCGAGTCTTTCAAAGGAGATGTGGATCTGCCAACTCACATGGGATACAATGAGCAGCACAGAATCCTGAGGGTGCTTGGCACCCTGATGCCTTCTCCCCCCGCGCCCCCCGTCTTTTAACTTTTAACTATTTTATCGTCGTTTTTATCTGGCTCCTTACAAAATCCTGCTTGTAGGCTTCTGTCTTATGAACACAGTAGGCCCCACCTCCAAAAGTAGACCAAGTAAGCTGCTAAAATGGGAGAGGGCAACCAAACAGGAACCATTTCCACAAAGCTGTAATCTAAGTATCAGCTCAGTTTAGGCACCGATTTACCTGAATTCTCTCAAAAAGCTCAAACCCATTTTTTCCAGTTAAGAATGAACACTGCTTACATTCTCGATCTGACAGCGAATATGGTTTTATGTCTCCCTCAGGGCGTTTGAGAGGCAGCTTTCTTGTTGGAGCTGCAACGAGAGGGTAAAAAAACAAACAAAGGAGCATTTGTGGTTGCGGTAGGAAAGTAATGCCCAAAATACCATTCCGGAAACATTAGTTTCCATTATCATGAGACAATATGTTTCAAGGATCACATTGTGGAGAATGGCCATTCAAAATTGTGTGGAGGTATGAGAAGACAGATCCCAATAAATGAGTCTAAAATTGCAGAGCATTAGTGAAAGAGTAGAAACAATGTTACAGTCGTTGAAAGATTTCCATCACGCAAGCTAGGCAATTTATTCTGCAAAATAAACCACGTTGCCATTAATGAAGGATCTGCCCTGACCAGAACATTGAACTCATTTAATGCAACATCGCTAGATACTGAAAATTATTGAAGCACCGAAAGCCTAAAGCTAATTGACAGAGAAATTCTATGGCTGAGGCAGAAAAAATATAAAAGGCCTCTTATAACTGTTTTTGCCTTGTGCTATTTTTGATTATTTGTCAAAGGGGATAAGACAAATTCTAGAATAGGGGTCCCCAACCCCCCAGTCCATGGACCGATTCCAGTCCGTGGTCCATTGGGAAATGGGCCGCGTAAGTGCTGGGCAAGCATATGAAGTTCTATTTTATGGGATTGAGCACACAAAACCATCTCCTCCCCTGCTGGTCCACGAAGCCCAAAAGGTTGGGGACCTCTGTTCTAGAGGATACAGTGATACTGTGCAGCTGTAATAGTTTGTTGGTTGTTTTTTGAGATGTTTTTTTGATTATGGCAATGTTATTCTTTTCATAGCTTGTGTTGGAGTGGGTTGAGCGGCGAGGCACTTTTTGAAAATTGCACGGGTATGCATTTTGTTGGAAGATGTTGTGTAGAAGTTCTGTTTCCTTTTTCTGATGTTCTGGGCTGCTGCAATGCATCTGTACTCATCTGACTAATGTTCTTACCCAGCTGCCTTGTGGGAAGTTGGGCTGTTAATTTGATAATGGAGCACTTGGTTGGTGTGGGTTGTTTTTTAACAGACAAGCATTTCTAACTTGCCATTGTTTTTTATGCTGATGAGGATATTTAGAAAGGATAGTGTCTTCTTGTTGTCTTCTTCTCTTGGGATTTTTATTCCTTTAAAGGTGTTGTTTCATGTGGTCTTCTCTAGTTGTTCTTTTTAGTTTGACAAAGATGTTGTCTACATACAGAACTGGATCCATACTTTTGGTTGTACGTGTGAGAGTGCTATAGTATCTAGATCAGGGGTAGGCAACCTTGACTCTTTTATAATTTGTGAACTTCAACTCCCGGGAATTCCTGAGTCAGCCATGCTGACTCAGGAATTTTGGGAGTTGAAGCCCACAAGTTATAAAAGAGCCAAGGTTGTCTACCCCTGGTCTAGATGCTGCATTACAGTCTCTGCTATGAGTCCTCAGAGTACTGGGTGTTTCTCTGATTGGTTGATGTATTTGTCCATTTGTTTTCAGGTTTTATATCCAAAATGGTATTTTCATATAAGACTACACTGAACAAAGTCTGGGAGAACAAGATATAATATTTTAAGAGACATTTAGTCCATTCTTAGTAATAACATGTATCATCCTATTATTACACAAATGACAGCACTTATGTAATTTGCACCATGCACACAATTATATCCTTTGTATGGTGATATCATGTGTATGGTATTAGGTCACTTACTAGATGCCTGTTTAAATCACATTCTTATTTGTCTTTATTTCAGACCAAGATAGTAATGGCTTCAAAGAATGAGTATGCTATGATTAAACAAAAGCTATGAAAGGAATGTAGGATATTCATGATCTACAGAAGAAATAATTTACTATGTTAGGTTTAATTTTGACTAACCATTCATTATTGTCAGTTTAAATCATTCATGGTTTCCCCACCCTGAACCTAATAAACTCCCATGATCAGTGATCTGCTCATACAAAAAATTTAAAAACTGTACAACTGTATCTCATGAAAAAAAACAGGAATATGGCAGATAAACTGGAATTTTCTGCTACATTTAATTTTTCACAAACCTGCATATTTGCATCCTCACTATGGTAGAGCCAACAGCTGCAAAATCAGAGTTTAAGAGAAAACCTTAATGCAGCAATAGAAATAAATATACTGACGTTAGTCCTCAAATGACAGCCGCAATAGAGTGGGCCCATTAAGTAGTAAAGGTTGTAAAAGAATTTGAACATGTGACTACTGTAGGATGCTGCAAACAGCCGTAAATGTGGCTGTGTAGCCGAGCGCCCAAAGTGTAGTCACAAGACTGGGGTGCAGCCTGACTGATGGAATAGTGGATTTGCATGTTACATCCCCTTTTTCAGATAGGTCATATTTGTTATATAGCATACACTGTTTATAAGATAACAATGTAATCCAATTTCTCCCAATCTAGTGCCCTGCAAATGTTTTGGATATCGGCTTTCAGCATTGCTAGGCCACACAGCCAGCAGCTGTTGCAGTATGTCTTCATAAGTCTGAAATCAGAAATCTCCTTGTTTGAAACACTTTGTGCAGGATGAGACAACTCCAAACAGATATAGCCAGATATTTATATCACTGACTCACCATGCTTGTGGCTGAAAAAGCCCTGGAAAATTACAAAATTATTCACCTGAAACAGGAAAAAAAAAATAAAAGTGTTAAATAAACCAATCTGATTCCACTATCCATTTCAAATGTCCTCTGAAGCAGAAATTACACTATTCTTGGGTTTTTTCCTGCCATTAATTTTAAGATTTGTTTCTCCTCACTAGATAGAAAAAACATTTTTAAAAGGAAAAGGACAGAGTTCGGAGATAGGCCGTGTGCTCTGCATGCAGAAGATGCTGGGTTAAATTCTCAGCCTGTGTATTGTAAAAGCTTTGGTAGGTCACAGTACAGCCTTTTAATTTTTTTTCAAATGGTAATTAAAATACGAAATTCTTAAATCTAGGTTCACCTCCTTCAAACATTTGATTGAGGCCACTTCTAGGTAATGCGTTCAATTAAACTGTATGGCAATCATCTTTAAAATAGTTAACTGAAAAATCAGTATGGTATTTTCATTGTCCCTTATTAAGTTATTGACCAGTTTACATCACTTTTTCCACAGCTCAGGTCTTTAAAATGTGGAAAATCAGCATTACAAAAAACGCACGGTGTCCACTTAAGCTTGGAGGATTTTGTACTTTTTGTAAGCAGAGTGTCCAAGTTGTATGTTTTTCTGGTCCTGCTTCAAAAGATGACAAAGATGACAAAAGATGACGAAACAAAGATGACAAAACAATACTATGAGGTGAGAGCTGCCTTTGTTTTGAAGAAGATGGCTCACCTGGGGGATTGTGTCACTGAGGCTATAGTGTTTCCGTAGGAAGCACAGAAGTTTTTCTGATGGCCGGTCGATTGCCAACTGATAGGGCTCTATTCGCTCTTGCTGAGGGAATAAAAAGAGAAAGAATTTCTCTGCAATTTATTTCTCAGGGGGAAAATAAGATTTAGAGACAGATTTTATTATTTTATCTTTCACAATTGGACCAGTTTACATCTGACCTGAAAAGAGGTGGAGGGGAGCAACTGAGCCTTAGCTTTGTAGGGTGTTCTCTTCCCAGATCAAAGACAGTTTAGTTAAACGGAAACCAGGCGGTTATTTCTAGCTAACAATTTCAGCTCAGAAAGAAATAATCAGACAATGGCTCTAAGATATCAGAGGTTCTTATTCCCTTTAGTTTTGACAGCTTGAAATGTTTATATACAGGTAGTCCTTGACATACGATCGCTATTGAGCCCAACATTTCCAGTGCTAAGTAAGACACTTGTTAAGTGACTTTTGCCCCGTTTTATGACCTTACTTGCCACAGTTGTTAAATGAACGCTGCAATTCTTAAGTTAGTAACACAGTTCTTAAGTGAATGCGTCTTCCCCATGGACTTTGTCAGCAGTTCGCAAAAGGTGATCACATGACACTACAACTGTCATAAATACATGCCAGTTGCCAAGCACCCAAATTTTGATCATGTGATTGTGGGGATGCTATAACAGTCATAAGTGTGAAAAACAGTCATAGGTCACTTTTTTCCATGCAACTATAAAAGGGATCTTCAAACTTGGCCCTTTTATGATTTGTGGACTTCAACTCCCAGAATTCTTCAGTCAGCGTGCCTGGCTGAGGAATTCTGGGAGTTGAAGTCCACAAGTCATAAAAGGGCCAAGTCTGAAGACCTCTGAACTATAACTTCAAACGGTCACTAAACAAATGACTGTTAGTCGAGGAATACTTGTATTAAAAGTATTTAAGAAGAGACTGGACAGCCATCTGTCTGAGATGGTATAGAGTTTCCTGCCTGAGCAGGGGGTTGGACTAGATGACCTCCAAGTCCCTTCCAACTTTATTATTATTATTATTATTATTATTATTATTATTATTATTATGGATCATCGCACAGTCAGCCAGATGTTCAGACTGGATTTGGCATTTTGTCTACCTATCGAGTCCTTACCCAAGACCTGGGATAGGCAGATGTGGATTATATTATTATTATTATTATTATTATTATTATTATTATTATTATTATTATAATAAAATGTACCGTGTCCAGGAAACCCTTTATTAATCTTCCTAAAATCAATTTCCCAAATAAAAGTAAAAAGTATATTATAGTAGCCATCAGAGAATAGTGAAAATGCCTCTTGCCTAAAAGAGCTACGCTATGAAGCAAGTTTTTACTCAAAACAGATTCCATGTGTTGAAAAAACCTTTCCTCAGTCCCATGTCCTTCAACCTGGCTAGTTGAAGGATTCATTTCCTGTTAAAGAGTCTCTCCCAAATTTGGGACTTCCAGATATATTGGAACGACAACTCCCAAATTCCCAACCATCACATGAATTACAAGATGGGTATTTCCTACAGATCTGGAAGGCAGCAAGCTAAGGGATATGTTGCTAGAGTCACATTAATTCTTGTTTGACAGAGCTTTAGCATTTCAGAAATCCTTCCAATCCTTCTGGGATCGTGACAGCTCTACGTCCATGCCTCTATCCTGCAGGTTTAAATTGCTATGGGGAGGTTTTGCCTTTCCTATGAAGCAAGTGGTAACGATGAAATACAGTGGCTTAATCCAAGTTAGGAAAATCATTTCTTGGATTACGCAACTGCGAAAAAGAAGGCTGCACCTGCAGCATGTAATGGAAGAGCTCCTTGCCATAGCCATGCCGTTGAAGAGACTCGTGAATGTAGAAATCCAGCACGCAGAGAGGCTCCACTTCATTGTGGGCCCCTTGACGATCCTGCAAAAAAACAGACAGAGATGTTAAAACAGCTCAGATGTTTCTGAACCGGGCATTCTGCCGCGTACTAACTTTTCCTGCGCTTTTCAAAAGAACCTCAGGTTTGAATCCCAATCTTTGGACTGTTTGTTCAAACCAGTAATTTACATGCTGTTTGGCGTTCCAGAGCATTAGGCCTGGTGAGCTGCAATTTTATTCTTCTTCAACTTACCAGTCCTTAAGAGTTTCCCGGAGGCATTGGATCTGCCCTCGCAAAGTCATTTAAGGCTTTTTCTTAGGAATATTCTTAATAATTTTTGGTACCTGGGCATTAGTAAGTTTACCCTTTCTAAAAACACAGATAACATCACAAACAAAGATATAATAAAACCAAGGACAATAGTACTTTATTTCCAAATACTGAAATAAAGCAGCTTAATTTATATTTTAATAATTCATTGCAGCTATGTTAAGCAGAATATAGTGCAGTGGTGGCGAACCTATGGCACTCGTGCCACAGGTGGCATGCAGAGCCCTCTCTGTGGGCACGCGCGCCGTCGCCCCAGTCCTAGGCCTTCAGCTGGGTTTTATAAAACCTTTTTGTGTTAGGCCTCCGCCGCTGTGTACAAAAAAAGGTTCAATCAATCAGTCAATTTCAACTTTTCGTAGGAAAAAAAAGATCTTGCAAAGTTGGAATTAATTGATTGAACTTTTTAGTCCGATTCACTGCTGTTACCACCGCAGCCATGCCCAGCCAATGGGCCATACCCATCCGGCACCCGACGATGCATAAGTGGGTTTTGGGTTGCAGTTTGGGCACTCGGTCTCTAAAAGGTTCGCCATCACTGATATAGTGCAAAAATCTGAAAATGAAGAACCCTCAGGATACAAATTGTGGAAGCCTCAGTCAAAAGCGAATAGTATGTTCAATTCATGACATTTTTTATTTTGCACAAATAGCAGATTATTAAAGGGGGGGAGGATTTATTCTGCAAACAAGAAAAGGATTATTTCACCTTCTGTGCCTCAAGTTAGAGCAAACACAGTAACTGCAGCCAAATCAGTACAAGAATGACTCCATAACATACTACTGTAAGGTTCATTTTTAAAAAAGCATTTCAGCTGTTCTTCAGTGATTTCAAACAAACACTACAGTATTCACCAAGATACATTATTTGATTTTTTTTATTGTTGGAATTAGTTTAAGCATAACAGGAAGCAATGGCTCAGTGAATGAACTGCAACAAACCCATAAACCAGGGGTGTCAAACAAATAGAGATTTTATGCTTTGAGAGTACGCCTCAAATACACCAGTGTGGAAAATATACTAATATAATTTAAAACTTTTTGGATCATAAGGATGGAAGGGATCTTGGAGATCTACTAATTTAACTTCCCAATCAGAATTTGCACTGATGCTGTTCGGGAACCAAGCATCCTTTTCTACTAGGGGCAAACATTCCATGTATCAAGGGTGATTTGTTTTCTGGTGTACTTACCAATACAAAGAGTTTTTTGTAACCAACTTTGAGGAAGCCAATTATAATCCCTTTCCCAGTCCTGAAATCAGTTAAAAAAAAAAGTCAGAAAGCTTTATTTTATGTATTTATCGATCAAATTTATATAGGTGCCCATCTTACAAAAAGTGAGATTTTCTTCAGAGAAAGATTAAAAGCAGTAAATAATCAGCAAACATTCTGTAGAATATCTATCTAGATCTGCTAAATTTACATTAAACTTGACCAAAGATTGATCCTAACACAAAGGATTGTGACAACACCAGTTTGTCAAAAGCACTTTGGCATATAGCTAGGGTAAAGCATGATACTGCAATGGGCACTGATATAGGGAGTACCACTGCAGCTGAACAAATTGGAGAAGCTGCAATGCAACTAAGCACAGCAGTATTCTTTGCAATATCATGCTTCATTCTAGTGATGACAAAAATATTCAAGAAATTCAGATTAGATATATAGCAGATGCTCCCTTCACAAAAGTATCCTTTGGCTGCCATGCAACTCTATATGCCAAGGCATCTTGTAGTACCTTGCACCTTTAAAATGATAAATGAATTCATGTGGATTTAAGCTATATAATCAAAGAGGATTCTACCAACTGTGAGCTTCTATAAGCAAAATGAGCCAAAACAAGAGTGAGTTTTGACAGCATTCCCATTTTGTCTTCATAAGCCTGACAAAATTTTCTCAGAAAAACCTGTTTTACTACTCAAAGCTTATGAGTTTGCTGACCCACAATTTGAAAAGCTCTGCTCTATGCATTTATCTGGAAATCTAAAAACTAAGCAAACGTTACTTCCAAAAAGGCAGACTATATATAGCAGGGATCTTCAAAATTGGCCCTTTTATGACTTGTGGACTTCACTCCCAGAATTCCTCAGCCAGCAAGTCATAAAAAGGCCAAGTTTGAAGACCCCTGCTATATAGAATCCAAATTCTTTTTGCTATGACACTCACATTTTTGCTTCACTGTCTTTCAGGATGTAGAGCACATGGTGGTTGGTTTGCATCCGTGAGGCACTGGTGATTGGAGCTGGCAGATTCTGGGCCTGAAATCAAGATTTGAGTTTCAGTCAGAATGATGGAAGAGGGTAGGATGGAAGAGAAGATGCAACTATATGATGGGCATCTGCAATAATGCTTAGAGAGAAGAATATACTCTTTGCCTCCCATATTCATCATCTCCTCATTTAGCCTGCGTATCCTGGGATCTATACACCAATCACAGCACCCTGAACCAAGAGGAATGCAGATAGCTCTCAACTTGCAGCCATTCATTTAGTGACCGTTCAGTTACAATGGCAATGAAAAAAGTGATTTACAACCATTTTGCACACTTACAACCATTGCCTCCCCATGGTCACAGGATCAGAATTTGGATGTTTGGCAACTAGTCCGTCATTATGATGGTTGCAGTGTCATGGGATCAAGGGATCACTTTTTGCAACCTTCTGACAAGCAAAGTCAATGGGGAAGCCAGATTTACTTAACAACCATGATATTAACTTAACAACTGCAGTGACTCACTTAACAACTACGACAAGAAAGATCATAAAATGGGACAAACTCACTTAACAACTGTCTCAGCAATATAAATTTTGGGCCCAATTGTGCTCATGTGAAGGACTTCCTGTATGTGAAACTAGGCTGAAACTGCTCTAACTCAGTGGTTCTCAACCTTTTTAATGCCGCGACTCCCAACTGGTCGTAGGTCGAGGACTACTCAACCAGTCATAAGTCGAGGACTACTCAACTGGTGCAGCACCGTTTGCAGAATGGGACTTTTGGCGGGCTCAGAAGGGCAGAGACAGCCTGGACAATTCCTATTGGCTTTTGAAAGCCAATAGAATTAGACTCTATTCAAGAGAGTCTATTCTATTGGCTTTCAAAAGCCAATAGAATAAAAGGGAGTAGCACACCTAAGGAAAAGGGGGAAAAAATGGAAGACTGTGTTGTTTGGTGACCCCCGTGAAATGGTCGTTCGACCCCAAATGGGGTTCCAACCCACAGGTTGAGAACCACTGCTCTAACTAAAGATTAAGAGGCCTGTAAGTAGAGAAGATAAAAATCCAGAAATCCTCTGGGGGAGGTAGATGAAAAGGAAACAAGTCATTAAGGAAATATAGGAAAAAATGTCATCTCAACTGGAAAAAGGAAATTGGGCATGAGCACGTGGAAAAAATGCTAACTTTGGGAAATAAAAAGTCCTGAAGCCTGACTATTTCTTAAGTTGTTTTTGGATCCAGATGTGGCAGCTTCCTAGTTCAAAAGGATGTGGGTGTTAATTGTCTCTTAATGTTTGGACCAGATGAGCAGGATCACATATGGCAAAGCAATAGCACCTCCTTGATTCTAAACTTTGATTGGATTTGTACTCTAGCTCAATCAGTGAGATTATTTAGAAAATTCAGTCCAATAGTTTGCCGCTATCTCTACTTCTTCCAAAAGTATAACTGAGTCTTTAACAAACACTAACCTACCTTGGCAGAGGCTTTGCCCATCTCATCTATGATCTTCATGAGTTGTTGCTGCATATCAACTCTGGTAAAACAAAACATGGAGTAACAATCGGAAAGGCAAAAATAAAACAAGAACACAATAGTTGTCCACTTTTTTAAAAATGGATAATTTGATGCATCAGAGATACAATACAATCCAGGACTGATTTCTATATATACAGTGTGTGTGTGTGGGGGGGGCATTTTTGGATTCAACACAAGATGGCTTCAAGTGATTGTCCTATCTGACACATGAGCTGAGTTTATGTACCACAGCAAACCAGAATTCATATACAGTTATAGATATATAACCAAAAAACCCAAGCAAGTTAATTTCTTATTAAGACTGGTGGAAAAGGGGATTTTAACCTCTGAATCCTTCTTCCTTTACCAGCAGCACTGAACTGCAAACATACTTATCTTGTGCAATATTTTGCTGGGGTGGAAGAGGAGGAGGTTCTAGCTTAGTTTTAAAGATACAACATATCAAGTTAAAGTTGAGCTGGAAGTTTAAGCCATAGGACAGTGATGGCGAACCTTTTAGAGACCGAGTGCCCAAACTGCAACCCAAAACCCACTTCTTTATCGCCAGGTGCCAGGTGGACTGTGGCCCACTGAATGGGCATGGCTGTGGGATCATGGCAGATTGGGTGGGTGTGGCCAAGATGGGCATAATCATCTCAATATTGCTTGTGGGGAGGGACACCTGTGGGGGCCAGGAAGGGTTGGGGGAGATCCAGGAGGTTTCTGGCAGGTGGGGCAGTGGGCAGGAGGCTCGTCTTGCAGGATGAGGCGAGGCAAGGCAGGGCAGGGGTGTCACTGTCGAAGGGCAAGGTGAGGCAGGGACTGGGGCAGCTGCTGCCTGACACCATCGGCCCCTGCACACAGAGCCAGCAAGAGCACAGGTGCTGGATGCATCCAGCCATGTGGGACCTTGGCTAGTTAGTGGGCGGCTGGTTGAACAGAGATGGTTGCCATCTCCGGGGCATGACCTGCGTGCCCACAGAGAGGGCTCTGAGTGCCGCCTCTGGCACGTGTGCCATAGGTTCGCCATCACTGACATAGGAGTATCCAATGCTTTTTTTGTAAAAAAAAAAAAAAGAAAAAAAAAGTGCTGGAACTCACACGTCATACAACCCGCCTTGCCTACCCTACAAGGTTCCATCCAAAAAAGGTGCCGGATCTCCATTCTGGGCGTTCTATGACAGAAAAAGCCCTGGGAATATCTATAAGGTGTGAAATAGATCTATCTATGTAGTCCTTAGTGGGTGTAGCGGTTAAGACATCAGTCTGGAATCCAGAAGCCTGTGAGTTCTACTCCCACCTGAGGAACAAAGCCAACCAGGTGACCTTGAGCCAGTCGCGCTCTCTCAACCCTAGGAAGAAGGCAGGAATGGCAAACCACTTCTGACATCCTATTGAGAAAACTGCAGGGACTTATCCAGGCAAAGGCCAGGAATCAACAAAGCCTCCAAGGCAAACACACACACCAATGTGGTCCTCAAAGACCCATCATTTTGATGGTGCAGAATCAATCAATCAATAATAAAAACACAGTGCGGAGACAGTTCCAAATCCTTTATTTTCCGTCCAATAACTCTTTCATTCATGCATCTCTATTTTTCTATGGGTGCCTCGGAGCACCGGAAGGATACCGGGGGTGGGGGAGATATCGCCATGGGACCCCAACAGACTGCACCCACCCACTCCCCTTTCTATTCATCTACCTTTCCACTGATGAGCTAGTTCTACGTTTAGCCAGTTTAACCTTTGCTCTACAACAGATCGCTGTGCTCTCTCTCTCTCTCTCTCTCTCTCTCTCTCTCTGTGTGTGTGTGTGTATGTGTGTGTTCCCCCCCAATTTTTTATGTTTCAGTCTATGACCCTCCCTCGCCCTCCTGAACCCGAAACTGCCTTCAGTGGCCTGTTTAGTGAGTGGCGGCAGCAGAGCGCCCTCCCTTCCCGCTCGCTCCCCCCCCCCTCCGGCCTCCGAAGGCCGCCCAGCTGCTGCCCGGGCTCTTTGTAAGCCAGGCTCCGCTCGAGACAGCCGGGGAGAGCGGAGGAAGGCGTGACACGCGCGCCGGCGAGACAGGAGAGCCGGGGCTTCCCATGATGCCCCGGGACAATGCTTAGGAATGCAAAGCATTCTCGGAGGCTGCATTGCCGCCAATATTACCTATGAGACGCGCCGAGCCCGGCTCCCTTTCTGCCCGACGGCTGCAAGTGCTGATCCACCGTCGCGATCCGCTCGCCGAAGAGCAGGTCCAAGTCGAAAGGGAACTCCATACTTTCGGCATCCGGGTCCCTTTCTTTCTTCTATGTCGGGGGGGGGGGGAGGGTGGGGTGTTGTTACCCGGACTTCCGCCTAACAACGCAGGCCCGGCCGTCTCGGAGCGACGTCCCGCGCTCGGCTCCGCCGTTAGCAACCGGACCGCCAAACTCGCCTAGCAACAGGCTCGCTCCAGCGACCGCGCCTCTCCGCCTCGCCTGGAGGGCGATCGCGCGCGCGCGCACACGTGTTCACAGTGGGGCTTCGAAGGCAGTTAGCAGGCGGGAGGGGGAAGGGAGGGGGGGTTGCGTGGAACCCGGGGAGCTTCGGAACGGCGGTTGGCTTGATTGTTAAAAATCGGTGCAAGTTTCGAAGGCAGCCAGGAGTGGAATCGGAAAGAGAATGGAGCGCAGCAGTGATGGGGGAGGGGAGAATGAGCCGGCTCAATTCTATACATTGAGCGGTAAAAGAATATTGATAGTAGCGGTTTTATGCCACCCCCTCTTCTTAACGTTTTTTTTAAAAGTGAAGGTTTCATTGACGCGGTTTGAATGCATTTTCCTTTGTTTCTGTATCTCTCAATTCCAGACTGCGGACAGCCACGCCCACAACGCTTGTCAGCGTTCCATTGAAAGTTCAATTCGTCGCTTAGCGAAATAATGAGCCGTTTTCTTCATTTCTAGCCCGCCTTTATTTTTTTACAAATAACTCAAGTGGGTGAAAGTATATAATACTTCTTTTCCTCCCCGACGACAACCCTGTGAGGTGGGTTGGGCAGAGAGAGAGCAACTGGTCCAAAGTCAACAGCTGCTTTCATGCCAAAGAAACCTCTTTTTAATAAAAGATTAGAGCTCACAACCACTTGGTGTCTAGCCTGGTGCTTTAATCCCTATACCAGGGGCAGGCAACCTTGGCTCTTTTATGACTCGTGGACTTCAACTCCCAGAATTCCTGAGCCAGCCATGCTGAGGGGAAAGGGAGAGATTTCCAAGCCGAGCCATGCTGGCTCAGGAATTCTGGGAGTTGAAGCCCATGAGTCATAAAAGAACCAAGGTTGCCTACCCCTGCGCTATACCAATCTGGCTCAACACTAACATACTTCCCAAATGGAGGAGGATTCCAAAGAAGAGAGCCAGTTATGGAGTCGTTATCATATGCCCATGGTGACGAACCTATGGCACGTGTGCTACAGGTGGCACGCAGAGCCCTCTCTATGGGCACGCGTGCTGTCACCCCAGTCCTAGGCCTTCAGCTGGGTTTTATAAAACCTTTTCGCTTTAAGCCTCCGCCACCGTGTGCAAAAAAAAAAAAAGGTTTAATCAATCAATTTCAACTTGGGGGGGGGCGGGGGGGAGGAGATCTCACAAAGTTGGAATTGATTGATTGAACTTTTTAGTCCCACCCAGTCTGCTGTTACCACCACAGCCACGCCCACCCAATGGGCCATGCCCACACAATGGGCCACACCCACCCAGCACCCGACGATACATAAGTGAGTTTGGGGTTGCAGTTTGGGCACTCAGTCTTTAAAAGGTTCACCACCACTGCCATATGCATTCCACTTTGGCGTAAGCTGCTTCGATGTTTATCCATTTAAACCACCAACTGATCTGTCTTGGTTAAGTCTCAGTCGTCCTTTCCTCTTACATGTATCTAAAATTGCAGGGTGAGCAATGTTAGACATTTGCCTGAGAAATTGCAGGGGTCAGATAATCACTGAGGAAGTCAGCTCTTAGTTGGAAAGACTAATGTTTAAATAATTGCCATCAATTTAATGTTTAAATTGGATTCACCGGCAGCCGTACTCAGCTTGTGGTCCTCAATGGAACCGCATCTACATGGAGGTGTTAATTCTAGGATGTATTTTAATTCCTTGCTTGCTCCCGTCTTATAGCGATGATTCGGAGAATCTCAGAAAGTACAGCCCAATTAACAGCAAAACATGAAACAATGTTAGCCTTATGGGAATATAAAATGGTACCTTCAAGAGATCCGGAATCAGAGGTAGAATAATGGAAGTTTAAGCTGGAAAACCTCCAAAGGGGGGAGTAAAGTGGGAAAGAAATAAAATAACATAGAATAAAGAAGAATAAAGTAAAATAATAATAATAATGAAAAATCACTAAAAGCAAAAATCATGTGTCTGCATAATCTCTGAAAGAAAGCTGTGTTAGCCAAAAGCTGTATTAACAGTATGTGAATGACCTAATGCATATTTAGAAACATTGTATAAAAGTAAAAACTGCCTTCATTGTATTCCCATGAGAAATGGACCTAACGTGTGAGAAACTATCTGAATGTTACACAAAGTAGATTCCATATACAATGTAAGATTCCATCTATGCCTCCTTTGTTCCTGAGAAAAAGAAACCTATAAAGCTTTAGTTTAGACCCTCCCCCTTGTTCAGAAATTTGTTGATTGTTAAATCACTTCTGAACCTTTTGCACAAAAATAAAAATCTCTCTTTCACCCTTGGAATTTCGTAAAAGTCCTTTATTTTTTTAAGGCTTTATTTTTCCACAAGAGAGGGACGTGTGTAATGGGGTGCCTCAGAGCTCTGTTCTGGGCTCAGTGCTCTTCAACATCTTCATCAACAATTTGGACAAGGGGATAGAGGGGGAACTCATCAACTTTGCAGATGACACCAAGCTGGCAGGAATAGCCAACACTCCAGAAGACAGGCTTAAGATACAGGAGGATCTTGACAGACTTGAACATTGAGTGCTATTTAACAAAATGAAATTCAATGGTGAAAAAAGTAAGGCAAGAAAAACCAAATGCACAGGTATAGTATAGGACTAGTGTCCCAGCAGGCGGCTTGCAGACGCAATCACGCTGCCATCAATGTTGACAACAGCCATAGATCCCCATGACTTGGTGATTTGGTTCAATTCTTTTTTGAAGTCAGCCAAGCTAGCAATTCATCTTGTGGCAGTGAATTTCAAAGCTGAATTTTGCTTCAAATAAAAACAATTTTTTTTTAGTCTGTCCTGATTCTTCCAGGATTCCGTCTCATTGGGATTCTAGTGACTGCTTAGTCTAGAATAGAATAGAGCTGGAAGGGACCTTGGAGGTCTTCTAGTCCAGCCCCCTGCTCGAGCAGGAGAACCTATACCGTCTCAGACAGGTGAGTCTAGTATTGTCAAAAGGGCAAAATAGTTTCTCGTCTACTTTATCCCCACCATGCATAATTTGGTAAACCTCAAATCTCCTCATCCAACTTCCTTCTAGGCCAAAAAGGCCACATGTTCCAACCTTTCCTTATCAGGAAGCCACTCCAGCCCTTTGGTCATCCTAGTTGCCTTCCTCTGAACTTTGTCTAGCTCCTGTTTGAGGTATGGTGGCCAGAACTATGCACAATATTCTAGATATGGTTATAAAAATGAGTTATCTTTAGGGATTAGGACAGTGATGGCGAAACTTTTAGATACCGAGTGCCCAAACTGCAACCCAAAACCCACTTATTTATCACCAGGTGCCAGGTGGGCATGGCCCACTAGATGAGCATGGCTGTGGTGGTCATGGCAGATTGGGTGGGTGATGCCTGTGGGGGGTGGACAGGGTTGGGGGAGATCCAGGGGGTCTCTGGTAGGTGGGGCGGTAGGTAAGAGGCTCGTCCTGCAGGGTGAGGCATGGCAGGGTGGAGGTGCCATTGCCATGGGGCAAGGCAAGGGGCGGCGGCTGCCTGACACCATCGGCCCCCGCACACAGAGGCCAGCGAGCGCATGTGGGGCAACAGTGTCTGTCAGCAGCCACAGTCTGCTGGCCTCTTGACCAGCGCACTCTGGAGCTCTGCAGCCCACAGCCAGCAGTTCAAAGAAGCCACCTCTGAGATGGATGGCCAGCTGACAGCTGAGGTGGCGATGCAGTGAGTCGTGCCTGGGAAAAGGAGAGCATGCAAGGCCAGGAGGGACGGGATGGGAGGGAGGGGAACCAGCCATGCCAGGATGCATCCGGCCACGTGGGACCTTGGCTAGTTAGCAAGCGGCTGGTTGAAGAGGGACGGCTGCCATCTCCGGGGCAGGGTGCGTGTGCCCACAGAAAGGGCTCTGAGTGCTGCCTCTGGCATGCATGCCATAGATTCGCCACCACTGGATTAGGATAATTGCATCTATTTTTTAACACCATTTATTATTCCTAACATGCTACTGGCCTTTTCTTTTTACAATAGATGCACATTGTCAAGCACCTTCATTAAACTCAGCATTTTTACAAATGGCTAAAATTGCAAATATTGGTTGGATTCAAAATAATTGCCCCAGAAAGTTATCTTGAAAGTTCTGTATTGTCTCTAATTTGGAGATCCCTGTCCCAAGCATAGTGTGGGGTGGGATGAGCAAACCTGTTTAGGGTTTGTATGAATGCAGCCAACAGTCTATTTAACAAAATCATGATTTATTGTAAAATAAAGATTCCCATCACACATCACATAGCTTTTCAATGGATTTTTTTTGTTTGTTTTACCCTTGCCCTACCCTCCCTCCTTCACCTGCCCCATTCAGTCAAATGTTTCCAGCAAAGTTCAATCACCAGAATCATCAATAACCCCATTCAATTTACTGACACTGGAAGTTCCTTCTGGAGGAAATAATAGACAGCAGCTCTCTAACAGCTGAACTATATACTTCAGAGGATTTTTAAGGATCAATTACAGGCTTCACTGGGAATGTTATAATTACTTTTTTTTTTTGGCTTGGTTTATGAAAGGTTGCTCTCTTCTTTCAGATAATCCTTGTAAATCCTCCTGAAGAGTTTAATTTTTTTCTCGGGAGGCTGTTGCCAGTCATACCAAGGATACCATGATGTCTTGCTACACAGAGCTGGGGATGGAGGAGTCTTGGAAACAGCTGGATGTTGGTTGCTCCAATCCACATGTTGGAAGGCGATCAAGGGAGTGCTAACTGTTAGAAGTCCTAACAAAGGAGGCACAAGACAAAACAGATCAGAATGAAGACAATGATTGATCTGGTTCACACCTTCTAACAGAAGATTGGGGGAGGGGCCTGGCTTAGCATATCTTATGACTTGAGTGAACTTATAAACCATGGCATAGGGTAGATAACATATGGATCATATGGGTGGGAGAAAGCAGGCAGCATCCTATCTATAACCTCCAAAACACTCCCAAGACCGTGCTGCTGAAATTTGGCAGCAAAATGGCAAATGGTCTGGTGAAAGTAAAATAGTAAAAATGGGTGTGCAAGCCTTCTGTGAGCCACTCCCATACTCACCCCTGATGCTCTAAACACTCAAAGACATATCATACAAGCACTTGCCACCTTCCACTGAACTCTGCCTTATTTTCCAGTCCCAATTTATGCTACTCACCACTGTCTTGAGCTTGATCAACAGCTTTGACTAGCGCCTTATACTTATTCGCACACAGGCCTATGAAGCAAGAAAAAATGTGTTTCCAAGACTTAATAGGAGATCATTACGGCAGGCAAAACAAAAAACAACTGTACCTAAAATACAGTTAGTCCTCATTTAGCAACATCAACTCAGCAACTTCCTGTACTGCTGATAAATCCCTGGCCTAGCCTGCTTTGTGCACACTTGCTCAAATCAACAGGACAAGTACATTATATGTTCAAAAGGTTACATAAATACTGTGTAAATTCTGGACTGATTTGTATCCAGGGACTTGATTATGTGTAACACATGTCTGGTGGTTTTGAACTTAGGTCCTCAGATGTACTAAAATGCTGTCACTCCAAAGCCCTGGCATCTTGCCTGAAGAGCAGCAAACCAACTGTTACATTGTCTAAAACAGTGGTTCTCAACCTTTTTAATGCCACGACCCCCAACCAGTCGTAAGTCGAGGACTAAACCGGTCGTAAGTCGAGGACTACCCAACCGGTCATAAGTCGAGGACTTTCCCTGCCCGGGAGCGCCGCGCATGCGTAGTGCCGCCCCCTGCGCCAGCCAAGGCGTAGCTGGCAAGTGGCAGAGACGGAGCAGGCCGACCACCAGCTGGCCCAGCCCAAGGGAGGTAAGGCACCCGTCGGAAAAGGGGAAAAAATGGCGGACAGCCTTGCTTGGCGACCCCCGTGAAATGGTCGATCGACCCCAAATGGGGTCACGACCCATAGGTTGAGAACCGCTGGTCTAAAATAAGATTTTGGAAAATACTGTGGTTGCTGGAAATGAATGCAAATCTGGTCAGCAATAACATTGTGTATGGAATAGGGGGAGAGCACAATTAACAAGAATAGTTACACAAATCAAGTGAGAGAGATGAAGGGGGGAGAGGAAGAGAGAGAGAGAATATACCTAGGACAGGGAATTAATTAGAGCAGGCATGAAATGCAATAGCTCACGGGTTGGCAACCCACGGCTCTGGAGCAGCATGTGGCTCTTTGAGCCTTCTCCTGCAGCTCCCAGCCTCCTCTGCCATTTGGAGAGAGAGAGAGGGGGGGGGGAGGGAGGGAGAGAGAGAGAGAGACAGATACAGAAGCACTTGTGTTTCCCTTCTCTCCCTCCCTCTCCCTCTCTCTCTCTCTCTCTCTGTGTGTGTGTGTGTGTGTGTGTGTGTGTGTGTGTAAAAAAGAGATTGGCCTCACGCTGTTCCGAAGAGTTGACAAGCTTATTGGGCGGGGCTCCTCCCTTGGCTGCATCTCTGCAGGAAGCAGGAAGGCCAGGAGACAGCCAGCCTAATAATATGTATTAGCTTGTTGGAGAAGAGCCTGAAGCCAGCTTGCCAGGTGAGCAGAAGATTGGAGAGAGGGAGAGGGGGAGAAAGAGGGGGGAGAGAGAGGAAAGAAAGAGAGGAAAGAGAGAGAGGGAGAGGAAAGAGGGAAAGGTGAGGAAGAAAGAGAAAGAGGGAGAGGAAAGCACGAGAGAAAAGAAAGGGAAAGGAAAGAGAAAGAGAGGGAGAGGAAAGAGAAAGAGGAAAGAAAGGGAGAGGAGAGAGGGAGAGAAAGGGAAAGAGGGGAGGAGGAAAGAGAACGGGAGAGGAAAGCGAGAGGGAGAGAGGAAAGAGGGGAAAGGGAGAGGAAAGAGAAAAGAGGGAGAGGAAAGAAAGGAAAGGAAGAGGAGAGGGAGAAAGAGGGAAAGGGGAGAGGAGAAAGAGGAGAGGAAAGAGAAAGAAAAGAAAGAGAAATAGGGAGAGGAAAGAGAAAGAGAGAGAGGAAAGAGAGAAAAAGAGGAGAGAGAGAGAGAGAGAGAGAGAGAGAACTCATGCACAGCAGCCTCTATTTCTTTTTAATTAAACTCTTCAATCAAGGTCCCCACCCCTTGCGTGCGCGCACAAGTTTTGCGGCTCCAAGTGTTTTCTTTTCTTTGGGAAACCGGTCCAAGTGGCTCTTTCGAGTGTTTAAGGTTGCAGACCCCTGCAATAGCTGCTTTACCTGTACGGGCTGGATCAAGGATGATATTTGAGTGGGGGCAGATAAACTGTTCAAGAAGCTTCACATTCTGTAAGATGAAAGAGCATGCCCAATTTTACTCATCGGTTAGAAAAGGAAACATGGCTTATACGACGACTGCAACTGTTTTTATTCATTAAATTCCTAATTGTTTTGTTGCTGCCCGAATACAACTGGTGGCTAGACCAGAATTGTTTCTGCACTGGCATCGGTCTTTCAAACTTCCCGTTAAAAGTTCACCCAATTAGCTTGTGGTGCCATGGCAATTGTTTTCCATTAACATTTCAACACTGCCCTTATAGTTTTTATGTCCAACTGCTCCAGAACTGTCTACATTTTATATTGTGTATATTATTTGTAACATCCTTTTTCTACGTTTAATCTATGGAACAAGTTCACATCTCTGCTCAGGTAATTTCAGTATATTTAAACAAAAAATATAAGAAAAAAAAAATTCCACGACTCTTACCCTATAATCCAAAAAAAGATGTTGATCTCTACAGATGGGACAGGGATTCCCACAAACATGACTTCCTCTCTGTAAGTACAGAACAAAACAATTTATTGTGTAAAAAATTGAGAGAAGAAAATGCTACAAATGTCCCGTTCATCACAGATTACTTAAAATAATGTGCTTGTTGCTAGGCACCTACTCTAAGAAACGTTTAAACACCTAGAACAAGTTAAAGGGTCAGCAGGAAACTGGGAATGGTCTCAGGAGCAGAAATTGAAGGAACTGTAAATGTTTAGCCTAGAAGAGACCAAGGTGAAATTTTTAAGATACTGTACTATAATATCACATAATCTAAGATGAAGACTGATTCCCCTTGTCCCAGAATGCAGAATTATGGACTTGTTGTTTGTCCTTACTATAAACAACAAATCCATAATTCTGCATTTTGGGGCACGTCTCACCGAAGCATCAAGTAATTGGCTTGACAATAATTGGCCTCCCCATGGATTTATCCTGATAAGTTCAAGCAGAAACCAGACAGGACAAATTAATTAGGATTCCCACACTGAGGAGGAATTTGAACTCAATGCTCTTAGGAGCTCCTACAATGTTTAGAGTAAGAATCTGCCCCTCCCTTCCCCAAAACTCAGATTAGCTAATTCAAAGAGAAAAAAAACTGGTTCATTCCAGGAGCAAACCATGTTCTACTGCATACAGTTAATAAAAATAACACACAATTGATCCCTTAAGCCTGAAATCCTCCAAGTACAAATTACAGATATGCTGCATCTTATCCAAGTGTCCGTACAATTTTTTTTTACACTACCTAACAAATTAAAGAGAGCCAGTTTGTTGAAAGCACCAGGCTAGAAACCAGGACACCATACGTTCTAGTCCTGCCTTAGGCATAAAAGCCAGCAATCGGCCCAACCAACATCAAAAGATTATTGCTTTGGAGAAAATAGGAATTCACCATCTTGAGTTATTTATAGAAAGAAAGAAAGAAAGAAAGAAAGAAAGAAAGAAAGAAAGAAAGAAAGAAAGAAAGAAAGAGGGAGAGAGGGAGAGAGAGAGAGAAGGAAGGAAGGAAGGAAGGAAGGAAGGAAGGAAGGAAGGAAGGAAGGAAGGAAGGAAGGAAGACGACAAAATACTGTAAGCATGATTTTTGCAACATTAGCAAATACTATGCTCAGTTCTCTGGGTTCATAAACCTACATAAACAGAATGTACTCACAATGCACATCTTCCGGGTTTTCTGTGGTGGAACCTGACCTTTGAAATTACGCCTGTATCCAAACCAGACGGGATTGTTGCCATATTTAGTTATGTATTCTAAAGGGAAAGGAAAAGAAAATTATGACCTGCGCCTAACATTTTACAAATGTGCTCAGTATGCAGATAGCAACAAGTCACCATCTCATATGCACCATCAACCCTTTGAAGTAGGTCAGGTCAGGAAACAGATACCTCAAGGATTCCAGGATTGCTATTTTATAGTTGTAAGGTATGATAACAGAAATCTTGAAAGCCCACGTGTGTCTCCCCTAGTCCCCTCTTCTACCAAACAGAATCAAGGCAAGTTATTTTAATTTTCTTTCTCATGCTTTCTTTCTCAGGACTAACTAATCCGAGCCGAGGTGGCGCAGCAGTTAGAGTGCAGTACTGCAGGCCACTTTAGCTGATTGTGTTCAGCAGGTCAGCGGTTCAAATCTCACCTCCAAGGTAGGTAAAATGAGGACCCAGATTGTTGGGGGCAATGTAAATATACATATACATTGCTTACTGGTGTACATCGCTTAGAGAGTGCTTGCACTTAAAGCAGTATATAAGTCTCATAAATAAATAAATAATCCAACTCTCAACTTCCCTTGCCTGTCAATTGTTTAACAATTAAGTTTGGTATTAACGCAGACTGTTGAAATGAAATGTATAGGAATTCAAGCTCATTAAAGGAAAGTATCTTAAATGGAAATAATAAAAAAGAAATGGAGTTCTACCCATTTATAACCAGACCTGATGTGATCTTATCTATCGTCCCAACTCTTGCGATCCTTGGATGAAACTAATTATCTGGACCCTTTTCAATCTGGTTTCAGGCCCGGCTACAGCACTGAGACGGCTTTGGTCGCACTGACCGATGACCTCTGGCGAGCCTGGGATAGGGGTTATTCCTCTATCCTGGTGCTTCTTGACCTCTCAGCGGCTTTCGATACCATCGACCATGGTATCCTTCTGCGTCGTCTCGGAGAGGTGGGGGTGGGCGGCACCGTATTGCGGTGGTTCTCCTCCTACCTCTCTGACAGGTCGCAGGCGGTGTTAGCGGGCAGACAGAGATCGACCCCTAGGCGCCTCGATCATGGGGTGCCTCAGGGCTCAGTCCTGTTCCCCCTCCTTTTTAACATCTACATGAAACCGCTGGGTGAGATCATTCGGCGACACGGGGTGAGGTATCATCAGTACGCAGATGATACCCAATTAATATCTCCACCCCGTGTCCTTTCAGTGAAGCAGTCGACGTGATGTGCCGGTGCCTGGAAGATGTGAGGGTCTGGATGGGGGGGAACAGGCTTAGACTCAACCCTGACAAGACCGAGTGGCTCTGGGTCTTGCCTCCCAAAGGCCAACTGGATGGTCCATCATTAGTCCTGGGGGGGGGGCAAATTTACCTCCCTCAGTGCAGGCATGCAACTTGGGTGTCCTCCTGGACTCACAGCTAAATTTGGAACAACATCTATTGGCTGTGGCCAGGGGGACCTTTGCACAGGTTCGCCTACTGCACCAGTTGCGGCCTTATTTGGACCGGGAAGCTTTACTCACAGTCACTCATGCCCTTGTCACCTCAAGACTGGATTACTGTAACGCGCTCTACATGGGGCTACCCTTGAAGGGCGTTCGGAGGCTGCAGTTGGTTCAGAACGCAGCCGCGAGAGCGATTGTGGGCGCGCCAAGGTATGCCCATGTGTCACCTATCCTCCGCGAGCTGCACTGGCTTCCTGTGGATCTCCGGACGCAATTCAAGGTGTTGGTTATCACCTTTAAAGCCCTTCATGGCATAGGGCCAGGTTACTTACAGGACCGCAGTCTGCCGCACAGTTCCCAGAGACCGGTGAGGTCCCATAGATTGGGCCTCCTTCAGGTCCCGTCGGCCAGACAATGTCGGCTGGCGGGCCCTCGGGGAAGGGCCTTTTCTGTGGTGGCTCCGACCTGGTGGAATCAACTTCCCCCCGAGGTTCGAACTACTCCCACCCTGCCGGCCTTTAAGAAAGCCGTTAAAACTCTGCTGTTCCGGCAGGCCTGGGGCTGATGTCCCCGGGGGGGGGGCGGGATATGATCGGACTCGCGGTATGACTGTATTATTTTATTGTTTTATGATTGTTTTAATTCTGTACACCGCCCTGAGTCCTTTGCGATTGGGCGGCATATAAATAAAATTAAATAAATAAATATGCATTGAAACATTTACATAAAAGGAGTGGCCAACACTGAAAAGACCACGGCTCGAGTTTACCAAATGAATCCATTTTATAGGTAATCCTGTATATCTAGTCTTCGTGATATTAGGGAATAGGAAACATTATATGAGGACAGGCAGCTTTTCTGGCTGTGTGACATGCTCACTATAGCAACAGAAGGAATTATTTTATACCAAACAAGACCACTTGCCCTCTTGGAGCTCCGCGGTCTTCTGATTAGCAGTTCAAAATATGATTACCATATTTTGAACTAGGCATAGGTCAGGGCTTTTCAACCTTTTCACCCATTGTACCACTTTTAGGATATGGCAATATCAGAGTACCACCAGTCGCCTAGCAAGGGGTCAAAAATTTGATGACCAAACAAAAAAAAGGGGGGGGGAGTGATAAAGTAAAGGTACTCCACGATTTACAACAGTTCACTTAGTGACTGTTCGAACTTACAATGGCATTGAAAAAAGTGGCCCCCAAGCCACAGCCGAGCAAGACACCTGCCTGCCCACCCGGCAGCACTCTTCCTCCTGTCTGAGGTTTCCATTGTTGTGAGCATTTCTGTTGAGGATTGGCAGCAGGGGTGAGGTGGGGGTGTTTGGTTTTTATTCGCCCCCCCCCCCCCAGTCTGCTGGGTGGTTGCAGCAGGTTTGGGTCACTTCACATGACCCTGGGACACTGTGACTGTCATAAATATGAATCAGTTGCCAAGCCTCTGAATGTAAATCACAAGACCCTGGAGATGCTGCAACATTTCAGCTGATTGGCTCTTCTTCTGGGCTCAGCAGAAGCACCAGGATCAGTGTTGCTTTCCAGCTGGAGCCTGGCGCTGATCCTGGTGCTTCCGCTCAGCCCTGACAGCCCTGCAGCTCCAACCATCTCTCACTCAGGCTTGTGCGGTGCTGCCATTGGTTCAGCTCATTCCCTTCCCCTGCTACAACTTTTCTAGGATGTTCGCGTACCACCTGCCAGGTGCCAATGTACCACAGGTGGTACCTGTACCACTGGTTGAAAAGCCCTGGCATAGGTTTTCCCTTTTTCCAGCCCCACCTGGAAGGAAGCCAAGGAGAAATGAATAGGCCCAGCCCAGAAAAGATGAAAGCAATCTAGGAAACTGGCAAAGTGAACTAGAACACTAGGAAAACATGCTGAAACTTCCTGAGGGTTTATTACATGACACAACTCTACATTTACCTACTTACTCACAATTGTGGGGCTTCCTAAGCCAAACAGAACACTCATATTGCAGGTAGTCTATGACAGGGCTTTTCAACCAGTGGTACAGGTACCACCTATGGTATATTGGCACCTGGCAGCTGGTACGTGACCATCCTAGTAAAAGTAGCGGGGAGGGGAATGAGCTGAACCGATGGCAGCATCGCACAAGCCTGAGCGAGAGATGGCTGGAACTGCAGGGCTGTCAGGGCTCAGTGGAGGTGCCAGGATCAGCGCCAGGCTCCACCTGGAACTCAGCACTGATCCTGGTGCTTCTGCTGAGCCCAGAAGAAGGGCCGATCAGCCTCTCCAGGGTCTTGTGATTTACATTCAGATGCTTGGCAACTGATTCATATTTATGACGGTCACAGTGTCCCAGGGTCATGTGAAGTGACCAAAACCTGCTGCAACCACCCAGCAGATGGGGGGAATAAAAACCAAACACCCCCCACCCCACCTCTGCTGCCAATCCTCAACAGAAATACTCACAACAATGAAAACCTCGGACAGGAGGAAGAGCGCCGCCAGGTGGACAGGCAGGTGTCTTGCTCGGCTATGGCTTGGGGGGCACTTTTTTCAGTGCCATTGTAACTTCGAACAGTCACTAAGCGAACTGTTGTAAGTCGAGGACTACCTGTACTTTACCACTTTTTTCCTTTCCTTTTTTTTTTTTGGGTCAAGTTTTTGACCCCTTGCTAGGCGACTGGTGGTACTCTGATACTGCCATATCCTAAAAGTGGTACAATGGGTGAAAAGGTTGAAAAGCCCTGGTCTATGACTTATAACTCTTCCTATAGTGACCGTTCAAAGTTAAAACTGCACAGATAAATGTGACGTATGGCTGTTTTTCACACTTCTGACCCGCTGCTGCATCCCCATGGTCATGTGATCAAAATCCACACACTTGGCAACTGGCATGTATTTATGACGGTTGCAATGTCCCAGGATCACGCGATCGTCATTTGTGACCTTCTGGCAAGCAAAGTCAATGGGGAAGCCAGATTCACTTAACAACCCTGTTACTAGCTTAACAACTGCTATGAATCACTTCACAACTGTGGCAAGAAAAGTCGTAAAATGGGGCAAAGCTCACTTAACAACTGTCCCGCTTAACAACAGATGTTAACAATCAGGTTACCAATTTACCAATTGCAACGGTTCCTTTAACAACCATGGCAAGAAAGGTCGAAAAATACCTATACTGTAGGAATGTGCAAAATGTTCTATAGTACGTATGAATTATTCCATTCATGGGATGACTGGCCAGTGATTCATATTCTAAGGCAGACATGTCAAACACAAGGCCTGGGAGCCGGATGCACCCCACAAAGTGATTTCATGTGCTCCCATGAAACCATTCTGGAAACAGTGAGGGAACGGCCCCTGCTGCCTTGGCCCTGGCCCAGGCTGGCTGGGAGCCAATGTACAATTTTGTGGTGGCCATCTATGCTGAAACGCGTTCAGTCTTAGCTCCACAAGGCTGTCTGGAACCAGCGAGGAACCAGCCCCTGCCACGTCGGCCCCACCCCCTGGGTGCATGCTGGGGAGGTGTCACCCTTTGTGAGGAATGAAGAAATGCACCATCGCTTGGAAGTGGCCAGCAAATGGCCCTCACCTACTTCACATATCCGGCTTAATGGGCTCTTGGGGAGGGCTTTCGGCAGGCAGCAGGGCGCTCTCCTCAGTGAGGCTCCTCCAGTGGACCATGCCTTGGCACTTGCCCTGGTCCCACCCCCTTCTCCCAGAGACCCTCAGATCTGTCCCACGCCTGCCCAGGCCCCCACAGGCACCCTTTACGCAAACAATGTAGAGCTGGCCATGCCCATCCAGTAGGCCACACCCACCCACTAGGCCGCACCCACCCTGGCCACACCCACATGCCCCCCCCAAGGGCAACCGCAATGCTGATGTGGCCCTCAATGAAATTCTAATGTTCTAATTCATCCTATAAAATCAACCAAGATCCTTCCGGATTTTTATCTGTGTAAAATCCAGAATAACCAAAAGGTACCAGGTTTTGTTTCTCCCACACTGAGCCTCACCCAAAAAGGTTCGACAAAACATCCAGATCAAAATGGCTCGTTCCAGATTCAAAATAAAACATGTTTTCTACATGGGTGCACTATCTACTTTAACACATTATCTCATCCTAAAAACGAAGAAATGTTCTTTAAATCAGAAAGTACGTGAATGAGCTTTGTACTCCCAGAAGATATTACGTATCCTGAGCCTTTGCCTCAAGAAAATTAAGGCAGCATAAATGATCCTTTCTCTCATTCACATTCTTTCTCTCTCTCAGGAAGAACGAGTATTTGGGCTCCTACCTCAGGCTAAGTGAGGAGTTTCGGCTTAGATGTGAACCCAGTTATTTATAGTGTTGCTATTCCAGATTGAAGAGTTTGTAGAAGCTAACTGGTGAGGACAAAGGTACAATTGCAGGGATCTTTAATTATAATGTTACTAAGTAGAAATAAGCACCTGTAACTATAATGGTTTCTGCTTGCTCATTTTCGTTTTTTTACGAAGGTAGTCCTTGACTTATGACTGTAAAGGAGTCTTCCTGTGAGAGTCATAATTTCTGACAGTCATAAAGCAGGTCATCATGTGACTGACTAAATTTTGTCTTTTTTGTACTGGTCATTTAAGTGAATCACTATGGTTGTTAAATGAATCTGCCATCTTTAAACAAATGCCATGGCTGTTGGGTGAAAAACACCAATTTTCAGTAAATATGTCACAAATCATGGTCAAGTGAATCTGGGACACTGCACAAGGCTATAAAATGCCAATCTGTGAGTGTCCAAAATGTGGTCATGTACCAGGCACAGTTGAGTGACGAGTTGTAAGTCAAGGACTACCTGTATTTCAATATCATATTGTGTGAGTACGTGTAACATAGTAAGAATTCCCATTGTCTATCTTCGTTATTGTAGACATTTTATAAACTCAGAGACGCTTATTTCCCACACTGTGGTAAGCCAGTTATTCAATCAGGGTTTGTTATGCAACCAAAATTAGCTAAATTTATATACAAAAACACCTACCAAATAAACTGCATTTTCCATCAGATTCTAGACCCACAGAAACTCTTCCCTTCTATCTCTATGCATGCCTACCTTCGCTCTCCAAGTATTTCCATGGCATTTCTTTGTAAGGTGAATCTCTCTCACGACCATCTGGCTTTGTGGATTCTTCTTCGTTGACTTCCGTGCAATACGTACGAAAGGCCAATTGCTCAGGTAGCAGGAGGGAAGTAGTGGGTATATGCTAGGAAACAAAGCAAGGGAAGGCAAGTACTAAATACAGATACCAGCATGGCTAGCAGTGACATAATAGGTCAGGGGTAGGCAACCTTGGCTCTTTTATGACTCATGGACTTCAGCTCCCAGAATTCCTGAGCCAGCATAAAAAAAGCAAGTTTTTAAAAAAAGCATTTTCAATCAGATATTCAGAAATTAAGAGCAGTGTCTCCAATGGATAGGCAACCAGTTACCCTCTAGCTAACTGCAGTAAAGGGATTATGAAAACTAAAACTCAAAATGCAAAGTTGTCTCTTCTTATGGTTCCTGTTGCCTTAATATCAATATTTTTTTTCCCCTTATTCACCTTTAAGAGTGATTGATTCCTCTTCGCTGTAATTGCTTTATTATCCAGGAAGCATGGAATTCTACAACTACAAGTTAGTATGGCGTAGTAATTAATGTGTAAGAGAGCACACAACCTACCTCCCAAATTCACTGACCACCAGGAAGTCGTATGGGACTCGTGACATCCTTATTAGGAATCATGAGTTCTTTGATATTCTGAACCTGGTTGTTTTCTTGCAGACGTTTCATTACCCAACTAGGTAACATCATCAGTGCTAAAAGGATTAACATCAGATAAACAAAAAAGCAGAAAATAATCAAGGAACTACCAAAATGGCAAGGTAAACTACTGTATTCAGGGAGCACTGGATTTGCTCTCTTTTTATATACTGCTGGCTTGCCCTATCAATGTTGATGGGAGTGTTCTTGGGGGTTCCTTGACAGGGCAAGACACTGGTAATTAAAGAGAAAGCAAACCCACTCCCTTCTAGTTACCTAGATGGATAATGCAACTTTTGCAGGAAAACAACCAAGCTCAGAGAGTACCAAGGACCCTGCAGTTTAACCCTGAGATACAAATAGTCTCTTTTATTAGGAATCACCAGAAATAGTGTACATAGTATAATCAGTTTCAGTCAATGTTCTAAGTGACTAAGACAATGGTGGCGAACCTATGGCATGAGTGCCAGAGACAGCACTCAGAGCCCTCTCTGTGGGCACACGCACCATCACCCCAGTCCTAGGCATTCAGCTGGGTTTTATAAAACCTTTTCGCTTTTAGACCTCCACCATGTGCAAAAAAAAAAAAAAGGTTCAATCAGTCAATTTCAACTTTTTGTGGGAAAAAAAAAAGATCTTGCAAAGTTGGAATTGATTGATTGAACTTTTTAGTCCCACCCAGTCTGCCATTACCACAGCAGCCATGCCCACCCAATGGGCCACGCTCACCCAATGGGCCACACTCGACAATGCGTAAGTAGGTTTTGGATTGCAGTTTGGGCACTCAGTCTCTAAAAGGTTCGCCATCACTGGACTAAGACATAGCTTGAGATCACATATACAAGGAAATTATCCCCAAATTACTCCTTTCCTGCTAGATAGGGGGAAAAAAGTCTTTTTAAAATGAGAATAGCAGCTGGGAATGAAGGCTAAGAAATAAGCGTGTTCAGTCTCTTCAACAGTCTCAGAATAAATCCCCATTGATCTGAAAGGGAAGCCTTTAAATAAAATGTATGGTCAGAAATGGCGCTACCAGATTCCTCCTGATTATTATTATTATTATTTTTGCTTATTATAGGCCAGTGATGGCGAACCTTTTAGAGGCCGAGTGCCCAAACTCCAACCCAAAACCTACTTATGTGTCGTCGCGTGCCGGGTGGGCGTGGCCCATTGGGTGGGCGAGGCTGCGTTGGTAACAGCAGACTGGGTGGGACTAAAAGATTCAATCAATCAATTCCAACTTTGCGAGATCTTTTTTTTCCGTGAGAAGTTGAAATTGATTGATTGATTGAACCTTTGTTTTTTTGCACACGGTAGCGGAGGCCTAAAGTGAAAAGGTTTTATAAAACCCAGCTGAAGGCCTAGGACTGGGGCGATGGCCCACGTGTCCATAGAGAGGCCTCTGCATGCCACCTGTGGCACGCGTGCCATAGGTTCGCCACGTCCTCTTTCAGAAAAACTCTCTGAAAGACAGATACAGTATGTGTTTATGTCATCTTTGTTTCTGGTTTTATTCTCTCTGTGCAAGCTCAGTAACTTTTTTTTTTTTTTGAATTGGAAACAGACCAATCCCTTTATATTTTTCTATAGGAAAATGGAACATTTTTATATTTTTATTGCTTTGCTACTGAATGTTTTGCAGGGGATTATTTTAAGCTAAAAAAGGGATTTTTAAAAAACATTTTTTTTTCTCTTGAGGAAGTATTGATTCTACAGTTAGTCACACACCTCAATTCTATCCAGCCTTTCAGCCCTGCAAGGTAGTTTAGAGAGGAAACAAAATCATGAGTAACGCTACTACCCTTAATATAAAGATACTATGACAAAATCTTGGAAGTCTGAAAGGTCTTCTCCTCTGCCTTGCCTTTACTTTCCACAGAACTAGGGAGGATCCCTTCTGAGACTTTTACCCCACGCACATTCCTCCTTTTGACTCAGACCATTTGTGATCTAGGCTGAACTCCAAAGGTTATTCTCACGCCCCATATCCAATCACTATAAAATTATTCATTTTTTTTTTAAATTTGCTAGTAATGGCAGGAGGGTAGTAGGGGTGATAAATATACATCAGTATGATAAATCTTCAGTCAGTTAAAAATACAATACAATGGAAACTAATTGAATAGAAAAAAATACAGATGGTGAGAGTCAGAAAGAGATAACATTAAGGAAGTAAGATAACCATATAGGCAAAAATAGCTGGGTCTGAGAAAGGAAGAGGAAAGTCACAAAATAGATAGTTTTTTTTAAAGGAAATGGCTAGCCAGAAAGGAAGGTTGAATGGAGAACAGGAAAAGAACTTATTGTTTAATGAGGGGACATAAATATATCTGAGTTTAAAATAACCATAAGAAAATAATTTTTCTTATTCTTATTGTATATGTGAATATGATTTAGTATGTTATCAGGAAATGTGTATAGGCGGACGGAAAGAGTGTAATCTCATACTACCTCAGCCAATGGGGAAAGAGGAGGGCTGTAGCGGCCGGTTATAGGGATGAATAAAAGAAGGAGATATTTTGGGTTAAAACTTTGGAGAGAACCAAGCTTTGATAGCTTCTCTCCCCGCTTATTGCAATAAACGAAACAAAAGGCCTTCATTGTGTCTTGGCTGGTTATTGGTCAGGCGAGCTTGCCTCTGGTCATGAAGGAAAGTAGCCAGGAGCACATAACAGGGGCCTTATCTTTCTCACACACTGGGGTTAGAGAAGAGGAGGGTGTGACAGCTGAGAAGTCCCCTAGCCTAGAAGATAGTGATACAAGTGAGAACTACTGTACCAACAGGCAGAGGGCTAGAGAGTGGAGGCCTAGAGAGCTTCTATAAGAGGAAGTGAGAAAGTTCCATTCAGCCACACAAGTACAACAGGGCAATTTTCAAGCAATCCAATGTTATTCAGAGTTGGGCATAACCATAACTAGCCAATTTCAGCCCAATTCTATACATACCTATGGAGTTCTTGGTGTCTCTGTGAGCTTGGCTGTTGCTGGCAAGTATTTCATTACCAACTAAATAACTGCATCCCTGTATATTGGGTTTGCTCCCTGAATACAGTTGTTTACCCTGCTATGGTGGTAGTTCCTTGATTATTTTCAGCGTGTTTATCTGATGTTAATCCCTGCTTATATAGGAGTTGGCTACTGGATAGGATGTGTTCTGGTCTGTTTGTTTCCTTCTTAGCTTTTTATTGTCCCTTTTTGTGTGTAAATATGGTTCATTTCTATGTGTCTACTAAGGGCTGATTTATCTGAACGCCAAGCTTCCAGGTATTCCTTTGAACTTTTGGATTTAGCTTGGTCTAGTATGCTCACAGAGACTTAGTTTGGTCTAACAGTTAAGGCAGGGCTTTTCAACCTTTTCACCCATTGTACCACTTTTAGGATATGGCAACATCCGAGTACCACCAGTCACCTAGCAAGGGGTCAAAAACTTGATGAACCAAAAAAAAAAAAAGGAAAAAAGTGATAAAGAATCGATTTACAGCAGTTCACTTAGTGACTGTTCGAAGTTACAATGGCACTGAAAAAGTGCCCAAGCCACAGCCGAGCAAGACATCTGCCTGCCCACCCGGTGGCTCTCTTCCTCCTGTCCGAGGTTTTCATTGCTGTGAGCATTTCTATTGAGGATTGGCAGCGGAGGTGGGGTGGGGGGTGTTTGGTTTTTATTTCTCCCCCCCAGTCTGCTGGGTGGTTGCAGCAGGTTTTGGACACTTCACATGACCCTGGGACACTGTGATCCTCATTTAATATGAATCAGTTGCCAAGCATCTGAATGTAAATCACAAGACCCTGGAGATGTTGAAACATTCCAGCTGATCGGCCCTTCTTCTGGGCTCAGCAGAAGCGTCAGGATCGTGCTGCTTTCCAGCTGATTGGTGCTTCTTCAGGGCTCAGCAGAAGCACCAGGATCAGCGCCGAGCTCCAGCCGGAGCATGGCGCTGATCCTGGTGCTTCCACTGAGCCCTGGCAGCCCCGAAGAAGCGCCGATCAGCTGGAAAGCGGCACTGATCCAGGCGCTTCCGCTGAGCCCTGACAGCCCTGCAGCTCCAGCCATCTCTCGCTCAGGCTTGTGCGGTGCTGCCACCAGTTCAGCTCATTCCCCTCCTTTGCTACCACTTTTCTAGGATGGTCGTGTACCACCTGCCAGGTGCCAATGTACCACAGGTGGTACCTGTACCACTGGTTGAAAAGCCCTGAGTTAAGGCACTGGTGTCAAACTCGCCCCGTCATGTGACATGTTGCGACTTTTTTTGCATTGCCGGAGCTGGGATGGGCGCACCCTCCGTATGATGCAGCCGGCCCATGGGCCGGCAGTTTGACACCAAGTTAAGGCATCAGGAGATCACGAGTTCTAATCCCGCCTTGGACAAATCTAACTGTATAACCTTGGGCCATTTTCTCCCAATCTTAAGAAACAAGCAGTGGCAACCCATTTCTGAAAAACCTCCCCCCCCCTCCAAAACTTGTCCAAGCAGTATCCAAGAATCAGACACTACTGAAGGGACAGGAAAAAAAGGACGCTCAGTTTCCCAGTTGAAACTATGATTGTCCATCTGTTGCAAGATTGAGTTTTCATCATGTCTTATGTTAGTTGGTGTTTATGCACTCTGCTACTCTTCTGCCTATCTGTCCTACATAGCGGCTGCATTCCTTACGCTTTATGTTGTTGATGCCTCAAGACAACAAAACTTACAATTGGTACTATTTATAAAATAAGTTGTTAAGCAACCTGTGAATCTCTATATTTACAGGTAGTCAGGTTAATGACTTTAATTAAAATCTGTAATATACAGATACAACTTTCCCAACACTGAGGAACCATAGCCTATAAATATTAGGAGAGAAGACTTAAGCAATGAGATTTAAACTGGGATCTTGATTGTTCCCATTTAATGTGCTACTTTCTCCTCTTACTCATGGGGAGGGGGCGCATTTGACGTTCATAAGCAATATTACAATGAGACAAGAATCCCAGATCTAAAGGACAGTTAAAGCAGTCCTCTGAGGATCACAGCTTCCCAACTTGTCACTCAAAAGGACAATGGAGGAAATTTATGCTGTAACTATGGTACCATGGGTTTTCTATTGTACTGTGGAACATGTGCATATTTATAAGAATCTAGACAATTTAAAAATGTAGGCTTTAGGAACAAAGCAAAACTGTGTAGCTTATTTCAATAAACATAGGCTAGAAAAAAAGCAGGGATTCTCTAGAAAAAAGACCTTTTAAACAGCATGACATAGCCAATATATCTGCTCTAGCATGAACATTAGACCATTTATTCTTATAGAACACAAAACAAGCCATGGAAATTACAGTTCTTTTACACAAAGGGGAATGACCATTATGAGAAAAAGGAAGAAAGAAAAACAAAAAGTTCTAGAAATAGCAGAGTGCACAAAGTCTAAACGGGGGTCCCCCAAACTCTTCAGCTCATTGATCCTTTCATGAAGTTTCAGACTGTCCATCTGTCCACTAAATATTTATAATCTGAAAATAATTGAATAAATACTACGTTAATAGTACTTAATTGTTAAATTAATACCTTGCTAATAACGTACTTAGTAACTGCGAATAATAACATCGACCCTCGGGGGTCAATACTGATCACCTTGGGAATCCTACACTAAGCCTTATGCAAGACATAATGGATTAGATAGTAAGTTCTATACTTACTATCTTACGAGTAAACTTTAGAGAATACTTCATATAATTTATACTAAGAGATAATATGGCTAAATCCTCAGGCAAACTAACGATAATGTAAAATAAAAATACACCATGGATTTTTTGTTAAAAAAACCCCACTAAAGCTACTTGTTAAAAATATTAATCTATCCCTTATGAATCTAACCATTAAAAAACACAAATGTCTTCTTACCCGTAGCCCGCAAAATCTATTAAAAGGCACACGGGCCGCTAAAAACCCCATGTTCCCACACAGCAACATGGCTCCATTGGAGGCTGCCATCTTGCGCGGAGCACAAATACCGTTGCGCATGCGCCATTGTGCCTCAATTTTTTTTTTCCAAGGTCACCTGAGGCACTTCCTCCCGCCCCGATTTCAAGGACACGTCATTTTAGTTATCTCCACTTAACTGCAGGAGAAGCAATCACCCATCTATTGTAAACAAATCTCACCATATATTTAAATATATTTTTATTTTTTGCTTCGATATCTTTTGCCATGGTTGATTCGCCCAATTAATCCCTCCCTCTCCCACCTAAAACCGCACCGGAAGCGCTGGTCCTAACTGCGCATGAGCAGAATTGATCATTCTCGGGAGGAGGCTCTGCCCGCAAAAGTCCAAAGTACGCGCATGCCCAGTTCGCTGTCTCGTTCCCAATCTCGACCAAACAGAAAACCGTGGCCGCGCGCGTGCACGCAGTCTTACGGCGGCCGCCTGGCACCCTCCTGCGCATGCGCGGCCCTGATTTTCTAACTGCGTCACAAGCTTAATCCGAGTTATTTTTTAATTTTTTTAACACCGTTGAACTGCTTTTCAAAATAGAATTCGAACTGTGTGCGTGGATATAAATTTTATCCCGTATTTAGGCAAACGGGAGACCCAGTTGGGCGGGGCACACGGCCGAGGCTTTGTTCTTTGGACGCAGCGCACGACGGTGGGAGGAAGCGTTAAGCGGAGGGAGTGCCGCCATATAAAAGCCTCCGCGCGCGCTCCCTTCGGCCATTCTGGGGTCTGTTTAAAGGTGAGTACTGTGCTTCTGTCAACGTTATTATGGGAGCGGCTTGGGAGGGGACAAAAGGGCATTACGATCTGATAATTTTATTTCTTCTCTCCCCCAATATAATGTTATTGACATTTGCAAATCCTGTTTCTTTCCTTAGGCTATAATGAAGGTAATTTGAACCTTCAAGAAAGCCCTAAACTCAGTTCTCCCTTTAAAAAAAAAAACAAGCCACTCAAAAACGAGCCGAAAAAACGTAAATTAACATTGTCCGATTTATTTATTATCTCGCCTCTGGTTCTTGTAACCCGATAGAAACGAAGATTTACGAAAAGCAATATTTAGCTAAATGCTGTTTTTTTTACCTGTTTTAAGATTAATTTTTTGAAATTTAATTGTAATTATTTCTTCATTTTATAGGTTTCCTTTGATCTTGAGACACCGTTGAACATCGTGAAACAAAGAAAAATTGCCCCACAGTTGAGCCTCTGAGACGACACAAAAAAGCCATCTACATTTCTGATCGTCTGTATTGGGAAGCTGTTAAAATTCTTTATGATCTGAAGGAGAACAACTGCCACTAAAAACATAAAACCAAAATTAATATTTAGCAACAACTTTCCCTGATGTTTTTTTATCAAACAACTTTTTATTACAAAAAGTTGATTTTTTTTTTAAAATGAGCAAAACCAAATTCATTTTTTTTCTTTAAAAACACAGCTTAATCCAAAAAAGCTAAACCTTGAGGCGCTGTCGAGGACAAAATTAATTGGATAGTAAGTGTCGCATTTTCAACCAACTGACCAAAAAATTCATCCATGTGGAAGTGAGCTAATGGCACGAAGAAAAGACAAAAAAAATTGTGGGAAAGTGGGTTTTGTTTGAGGTGTTAACCCTTAAGACGCAGGCATTTTGCCACCAAAAATGTATATATAAGGAGAATGATGGTCTCTTAGAAAATCCATCGTCTCCAGGACTGTCAAGGGTTAATGAGCTCCCACATAACAGATGGTGGTGACTGAACTATAAAGTGCTGCTTCTTTGTGTGGGAGACAAGTACTTGAATTAAATAAGCAATCTGTACATAAAGATTGCAGGGCAAGAGTTGGGACAAAGCAATAACAGTACAGTAGTAGCCAGATGGAGTCTTTTTTTTTTAGGATGGGTTTATGTGTCAGCACCTATAGTTATAAGAATGGCAATGTTAAGGGGTTTTGTGTTTTTTTTTAAACGAGAAGGTTTTAAAATGTATATATAGGTTTGTAATATGAAAAAGCAATCTAGAAATAAAGATTGCAAAATGAGTTTGGAAAATCATTTTAAACTTGATATTTTTTAAAAGAACTGTAATAGAAACCAATTGGATTCAAATGAGGTCTTAATTTGCTTTTAAAATGTTTCATCTATTTCTCTCACTCCCCTTGCTGCAGTATGGCAGTGTTTTTAATCTTTCTGTCCCTGACAAGCAGCATTACAATTTTCCTTTACAGGATGTTTCCATTTTTACTTCTACCTTATCTACTGAAAAAACAGGAGGGGGCAGGCGGTACTGACCTTACAATGGTGAATAATGAGGTTCTTTTGAGTCTGGCACTCACCAACAAGGGATCCCCTTTTTTTGAACTGTGTTAAATAGGTTCTAGTTGGTAGAACTGACATAAAATGATAGAATTTGTGCATGTGATGGGGTTGTATTGCTATATAGTTTCCTCTCAATAGATTCTGGAGGCTCTTGCTTTTTTTCCCCTTAATCGCCTGTGCTAAAATGGCGCCTTCTCTCTCCTATACAAGAACCCACGAGGCTTTCAAGAGCTGATGTAAGCAGCTTGTAGCTAGCTCCTCCCCTTCACTACCTTATGTTTGGAGCCCAGAGCAGGCAGTTGGGGAGGGCAGAACTGGCTAACGTTTTGTCACTTTTCCAAAATGATTTAACAAACTTCCGCTACTGCTTCATCTTTAGGAAATCTCTAGGTACAGCTTGCTAGAAGTGCAAAGTATTATCATAAATCCACTGAGTTTTCTTTTAAGGTTTCAACATCACATGAGAACTTTGGCTTTCTGTGATACCTACATGTTTGTGGTATTTGTTTTGGGACAAATTTATTAAGTGCCTATATTTGTGATAGACCGACAACCTTTTTTGTGTCTTTTCCTCTTCCTTTTTTTTCATCTTGAAGTCTCTGAAATGGTATATGGGTTAGGGAAGCATGTTTTCTCGTTTTGTCAGATTTAACTGTTAAAGATGAAATGCTACCACTGGATCCCAACTATTTAGTGTCATTGACACTTGCTGGAACTACAAAAAAAAAAAAAGAAGGGAGGAGTGTTGTATTTTCATTTTCTTTGGCCATATGTACACAAAGGGAATGGGGGGTGTAAATCTTGTATTAATTTGCCACATTCCACCGTTCCTGTACAATGTACTAGGAAAGAAGTGCTCATTAGGAAAAAATGGGAATCCAGCTACTTGTATTACCTCACCAAAGGGAGGGGAACAGCCACAATTCCACCTGGTAAGCAAAATCTTTATGGTATTAATTACATTTCACAACCTTCATTTCTATTCCAGACCACTTTGGTTTTTATTCATTTCTTTTTGCTGCTGTTCTGTTCCATGTCAACACCATGAAGTGACTCCTACTGATGCATGCAGGCTGTAATGGGTTTTAAACGTTTGCCAATCTATTGAGGCTGCTAAATTACTCCCTCCCCAGCTTGGTTAATTCCGTAAAAGTTTCTTAAATGGGTCTGCATGAGCATCAGATAGCATTTAAGAAATGCTGCCTTTGTGACTTTTCCTCATTTAAGTAATGATTATTCAATACTGTGGGGAAATATTTCACAAAGCTTGAAATTAATGCCTCCATCTATGCCTCCGGTGGTAGCATTTCATATAGAAACATCTCCCCCTTTTTTTTAATCGGTGACACTGTTCTGGCTATAAAATTTGATAATCTGTGCACCTCCTGACATCTCAAGGTGCTTTGTGCAATACAAAGTCAATTTAATTGGGAGGGATAGGTTAGCTGCTGCATAAGGCAGCCTTGAGTGTAAACTTGGCAGAAAATAAGAGTTTGCTTTCAAGTGTTTTCAGTAAAATTCACGTGTCTATTCAAAACACTTGATTATGAAGCTCTGATCTGACCAGAACAGCCTAAACAGTTGAAACAAAATAATAATTAAATTAGAGCAAAATTTGAAGCAAGGTTAATACTACTGTAATACACAGTCTTGAGGGCTAACATAAGTATTAATGTTTGCATTGTGAAATGGGCTATTCTGAAGTTAAGATTCAGTTTTTACACAGGTATTGGTTTGAATAACAGCACAGCAGCTTGCCAGCAAATTAATTAAAAAATATATAGGGAAATACACAGCTTTCCCCCAAAATCCATTATTTAAAGGATTCCCTTATATGGATAAGAGACAATACTTCCAGAATCTTAGTTTTTTTAGGATTCTGAAATTTTAATTCTGGAAGGTCAAGCTGTAGTTTCAACAGAATTATGCTGCCACAGATTCCAGCCTTAACTACTGTTGTGGCTTAGCTCCTGTATCATACTGAGCTACATTATTATGTCAGTTAGATGAGGCTGACATGTCATAACTGAATAACCTGGGTAAAATTCCTTCTGTGATGTAAAAACACATGTGGAAAGCCAGCTGTTTGCTTTGCTTGCTGTTTATATAAGACAAAGTTGTTTTTTAAAACATCTACTGAAGGAAATCGGAATTGTACTAAAACTGGAGCATAAATTTGATAATAGTTCAACATGGCAATATATTCCCCTACTTACTGAGCACTAAGTAAATGGGGAGGTATATGGACAAAGAATATAACCTTCACTTCTGAACATACTTACTGGAAATTTCTCTGGGGCTAATTTCCATGTAAGTATAATTTGGATGGAAACTGAACCCTAAGCGAATCTCCTTAAGAAGGCTTCAAATGTATGTTCAATTTAATGGGGAATAATAAAAGTATTGCCACTTTCCTCCCTAAACTGATCCTTAAAATGGTATGCTTCTAAGTATGCCTGAAGATGGATGTATTTTAAACATAGTTACTGATTCAAAGGCTACTATAATAAGGCTCAAATGGCTCATCTATCCTCTTAATGCAGAATATACTTAGATTGTTTTGATACTAGCTCAGTTTTATGGTTGAAAATGAAAGTAGTTCATCAATTCAGAAATTCTGACTTCAAATGGAATTGATATATTTGCTGTATGTCTACAGCAAATATGTCTACAATTGATGGATTGACACAACATTCTTGCAGTAGAAGCTTTTAGCATGGTACAGTAATGAACAGTACTTGCAATAGCTAGTAAAACAACAGGAATTGTAACTATAGTAATTCCCTTGGGAACACATTTTAAAGCACTTTGCTAACAATAGAATTGTAGGATATAAAAGTGTCTTGGATTAAAATCTTGATATTAGTCTCTACGAATACAAAATGAATGATTCTCGAGTCAAATTCTGGATAATTAATTTTCAGATGAATTGGAGCACCTTGGAGAGGGAAATGCAACATAGATATTGTTTGTTTCTAGTACCTATAATCTTGCCTCGCCTCCTTCTCAATGTCCTTCATTTTTCTGGTTTTCATCCAGGCTTCGAGAACTTTAATGTTAACTTGTTTTTGCTCCAGCATATCCAAGTTCTGAGATTCTTGGAAAGCTCTCGAGGATTTTTTTCAGGATAACCAAAAGAGTATAATGGCAGGGACCTGACTGGTTTGCATCTGACAACAGTTAACAGCCTGCTTTTTGTTACCTTTTTCATGGGAATATCTTGGTGGGATATGCTGGATATTCCCCCACATTACAATTCCTATCAAATTATGTTTTTAGACGTTATTAGTCATAGCTAACTATATTAAAATTCGTTTTGTTACAATGTACAAAAATTATGGTATCTGCATTGCAACTTGGATCTAAAGTTATACAGTGCAGTTGTCTGTCAAATACATTGATGGTAACAGCTAAATATTTAGTATTTGCCCATCTCCTTTGTGAAGGTTGATCTTTGGAAAGATGAAAGTACTATTATGTTTTATTCCATTGAGATTCTTATGTGATCAAGGTAACCTATTTAAACTTATAAATATAATGAACGGTCTACCATATTAATCCACCAAATCTGGTATAGAATATATAAATAGTATTAAATACTAAGAAACAATAAGACATCAAAAGATTTCAAATTAATGTTTAGCTTCTAAAACTTGCGAGTTAGAGAGACATTTAAAAACTATTGCCACTTGATGACCGTAGATAATTTGTTCAGATGAATTTCTGTACTGAAATATAGCAATGAACTATAACTGAACTACTATAAAAAATTTGTAATTTAACAAGTGTCTATGAGACTGAATTTCTTATTTTTAGAGCATTTATCAAATTAAGAATGTCATGAAATAGTAAAGTTTCCTTTAACTTTAAGCATACTGAATACGAAGCATCTGGAAACCAAAAGTTTAGGATTCAAGTAGAATGTATCTAAAATTTGTTAGATGTTAGCCCAGCCATGTTGATGTGCTTCATAATAAAATTAGTTCCATATACATTATTAAAATGAAATTTAAAAATGGAATGAGGGCCAAAACGCATTTACTCTTATATGTATATTTAGGATTGGAGGCTGTTGTGTAAAGCTTAAGCTTACATGTTCTTGTAGATTTTTTTCACATCCATGCTAAACTAATAAAATTGACAGACACTACTGATAATGCAAGAGTTGTAAAATTTAATGATTAAGAAATAGAACAGAAAACTTAACTTCTGAAGTCCTTTTTTCCCCCTAACAATGAATGACTCCCATATAGTTTATTTGAGATCTAGCTAAATGCAGAATTACTAACAAAGCATGGTGTCACGGTCTCACAACTGTTTCAGATTTGAGCCAAAAAGTTTGGCTTTTTAATCCAGTCACATTTCAGATGTGAGATAAAATAGCATGGGTATAATTATGAACACTATCAATGAAGCATGTGTTAACCAACACTGAACTTCATAGAAAGCCCGGTTTCTATTTGTAATTATGATGAAAAAATAAATGTCTAACTTAGCTGGTACTATTAAGTTACATTAGAAAACTACTTACTCTAATGCATATATATCATTGCTTTTTACTTAACCTTCCAAGTTTGGATTATTTTCAAACAGCTGGTAATTCTTGAATTTTAATTTTGTTCAATTTATTTGCTTGCCATTTATGTACTTGAAAGCAGTTTTAGTAAAAGATGCTTCCAAGTGAATATATACAGTTGCTAATTAGTTAAAAGAGCATATTTTCAGAATGTTTCTGAAATGCAACTTTCGATAAATCTGGAATGAAATTTGTGTTGTTTGTTCATACTTGCTAACTATACTTTGAATAAATTAAGTTACTGGAAATGTGCTAAAAATGAAATCGCCTGCACAAAAAAGTATTATTTGCTGCTAACATACTAATCAACCTAATTTGATTAGTATGTCTTAAAACAACACCTTTTTCAAACTGTAATTTTAGAATCTGATTCAAAGAGGAGGTTTTAATAGTTGATAGTTTTACAGTTCAAATAATTAACTACCATAAAACTGTTTAGTCTCTTGCAGTTTTTTAAATATACCTGTAAACTTAAAAATGGCAGCTGGGTGGCCGCTTCAGTTCCTCAAATTAAAATCTGCAATCTAACAGACACTTGAAATAGGGACCAAGATTAAACAATGTTTGGTTAAAAGAATGAGCAGTTTTGCTGAAATGGTGGCCAAACTACTCATTCTTTTAGTCCCAAATGCTCTTATATTGCAACTCATTTTATTTATTTTAATTTTTTTCTGTATAGTTGCAAAAGAAATTAGGTAGTAATGTTTCCAAATTAGTTATTGGCTTTTTGTTAAATTGCCTTTAATTTCTACAGCAATCTTTCATAACAGAAGTTTTAAGATTTGGGTTTTCAAAAACTTTAAACCAAAAATTCTTTTAAGTAAAGTTTTTCAGAATCTTAACTTTTGATCAGGCAAAAACCTTTTGTGAGAAGATTACGTATTACTTGAGTCAAAATGTTTTACTTTTGTTTATACAGAGGGGGAAAAAATGAACTCAGAATTTTAGAAGTTCTTGCTTGGGATGAACATTGTGGAACAAATTAGTTTTGAATTAGTTGATATGTTGTGGGCCCTTAGCCTTAAAATATTTCTTTTAAAAAGAGAGAAAATTAAAAAGCTTATATCCTTTGAATATCTTGAATATATTCTTTGCTACATGTGTCCAATACTATCCCTTAATATATTTATTAGGCTTTTCAGGGGCTGCTGGATTCTTTGTTTCCTTAAAAGTGAAGCTTTGTCTTGTAAACCTTAATTAAATTCAAGATAGTATTTGCTTCTTTTAAAAAAATTTTGATTTATAATGTAAATTTCTCAAATTATATAAGAGTTCCTTACTAATACTTATAAAGATATAACTTCTGTAGTAAGATTGTAATCACAATCTGTTAGCTAAGGAAGTTTAAGAGTAGCCTGGAATCTCACATGATCTGTAATGCACCCCTCACTCAGAATTACTTCAGTTATAGAGCTGCAGAGTCTCAATTGCTACGCCAGTTCAAATGGAACAGAAACATGAAAGCTTGCCTTGTTCTATTTCAAAAAAAAAAATAAAATTACAACATCATTGTGTAATAATGTTTTTGGAATGTTGTGGTTTGCTACTAACAAAAACTTCAGTTAGCAGTCTTTAGTCTTTAATTAGGCAATCGTGGTCGAGGGCAGAATGAATGAAAAGAATGCTTTCCCTGGTTAACTGGAGTAAGTGTCGAAGTACTGTTGGCAAAACCACTACAGATGTGGGGGTTTAGAAACGGAAATTGCTTAAGTTATAAGTAACATTTGTATTTTTAATTCTCTCCTGGGGTTGTAGTGCTGAGAAAGTGCCAGAATGACAGCTCTGGAGACTGAGGTCCTCTTCACCAAAGCAGGCTGAGCCCAAGTTTCATCAGTGCCAAGTTTTCCTCAACAGTGTATTGCTGTCTTGCATGTGGAAGGCCATGTTGTGGGGTGAAAGGGGAGTTCAGTCTCCAAAGCCCACCTCATTTGGTCTTTCCATTCCTGGGTGAACTCATGATACAGAACTTCAATAGCCATTCTTCAGAACTGGACTGAAGCCACACAAGGACTCTACAAGTCACCGCAGGCTGGTAACAACTTTACAGTCCCACTCTACTATCGTCTGTACCTGGAGAGTATTTTCTTCCATATGAAAATACAACACGATATTGATTTCTTCTGGTCGTGGACTTTTTAAAATTACTATATCCAAAACATAGGAATACACTTGGACTGGGCCCTCCTGCTTTGGGGGAAAATAATTTCTACACAATACCTAACCTACATGGCTTTGGAAAAGTAGGATATTTGCTTAGTCCATTTTACTATACTAAAAGAACTGAAGATGCTTTCTGTGGAAAACAAAGAAGACTGCTCCATTGACTTGGTTATTGCTTCTACCACAGAGATGCCGTTCCTTAGTGCTGTGGAAAGTTTTTTTAAAAAAAAATATTTGGCATATTAATGGGGAAGGCCAAAGCTTAGCATACTTAATTTTGCAAAAGTGGTGTGCTGCAAGATTACATATAATAATAGATTATTTCATTAAGGTACATTTATTGTGCCTCATTTTGAATTCAAAACAATACTCCTGGGCAAATTTATTTAAGGTGGACAGTTTACACTGCATCAGACTTCTAAGAACTTAATCATATGCACCTGATCATGCTGTCTACATACTTCTAAAAGCAATTCAGTAATGCAATTGCAAGCCCATTACCAAACATGTCCAAACCTAACAATCCCAGTAGAGCTACCATAATTTCAGGAACTACACCTTTAGTGCAAGGGGCGATACTGCTCCGTTTACCATGAAATTCATAAAACTATCACCACAGTGCAGGCCTTATTTACACAGAGCTTAATAAATTGATGAAAGGCAGCCAGTATGTTTTCACACCTTAAAAAGGTTTAGATGAACCACTTTTGGAATTAAAAGGCTGCTTTAGGGTATAGTTAGAAGTTAAAATTAAGGGCCAATGCTTTTGAGTAGCTGTCAGCCATGCCTAGGCCAAATGTTACTTGAGCAGATAAACCTAAATTTCTTACATAATTTTACATATTTAAAATTCTGTTCCTTGACTATATATATACCTTAAGCTCTGAACAAAAGGTCAAGTACATTCAACACAAATTTATTACACATTTTTCGATACTACCATCTTAGTTCGTCTTTCAAACACAATGTTCTTTATCCCAAGAATTGTGGCAGGTTTCTGAACTATGTAGTAGAGTCTTGCACAGAAAGCCATATTAAACACAACTTTCTGAGCACAAACAACAAACCCTGTGATTAAGAGCACTTGACTACAATTTGCAGATCAGCGAATTGATTCCCACTGCACCAAGACCTGAAGGCAAAAGGAAACCGTACCATGTATATCGGGGTGCTTGAAATACTTTTCATTTGAATTACTATTGGCAGTCATTTACTGAGCAAGTACAGCGAATCCAATAGAATCAAATGGTTTTATAGAGGCCACCAGTGTAGGGTAGTACAAATCTTAACAGAAACAAAGGATTTTATTATGCTTTTATCAATTAGATATCAGACAAATGAGACCCGTAAACTAGAGTTCCACTGGGATAGTTCATCATTTGTAACACTAGTGTTATGTGTTTTTGGCTCGTATTTGTATGCAATCATCTGTTAAAAAACAAATAGTGTGGATGTGGAGAAATACTATTAATTATATTAAGAAAGAAGAACATAGTCTTGGATATTTTAGCAGGGAATAAATTAAACTGAATTCAGTGAGACTTTGTGAATACATTTGCATTGAGAAATCCCTATCAATTATCTACCTTGGACTGGCTATTTTAAGCTGAAGACACAATAGAAATTCTGGGAATAGGAGAAACAGTATATCCTTTTTGGAAAATAAGGCAGATGGGCAGTGCTCTGGAATTTGGACTGAATAGGTACTCAATTTTAGTTGAACCAACAAAATACTTTAGTGTTTTACATATTTTAGGAATGGACTTCGCAGTTTTAAGGCCAAGTAAACATGAATGTACATGTGGGAATTGGGCTTTTTGTTTTTCATTTACCAAAATAGTCATGGATGTTTAAGTGAAATACTGGATCTCCAAAACTTCAAGAATTCCCATTGAGGGACTTACTAATTAGAAGATATATGATAATACTTTGCACCTAGTCAGAGAGTAGCTTTTTCCCATGTATTATTTGCATTTTGCTATGCTACAGTGATAAATCTTGTTAATGTTTGGAAATTTTATTTTTAAAACATTCTTAAAATTTTGTTCATTTTTTTTTAATCTTCCCAAAGAAGAATTTAACATAGCCTCTCTTCTGTTTTTGACAGAATTTGCAAACATGGGTTCTAGACCCATAGATCCAAAAGAGCTACTAAAGGGACTGGATTGTTTCCTTGGCAAAGATGGAGAAGTCAAAACTCATGAAGGCATCACTAAAATTTTTAAGTAAGTATTTGTGTTACAAATCCATTAATTGCCTATAACTGCAAAAATATTGCCATATTGAAAAACTACTATTAATACTTTGTTGAGACCAAGTTTATTTTTGTTTGAACTGATACAAATTATAGGCCACTTTGTTGAAAAATATAAAAGGATATTGATAGACCTATTTTTTTTTAAAGAGAAAGTTTGTCCAGCATTTTGCAATTTCCTACGGTTATGTTACATGTGATGTTCAAGAATGGAGTAATTGGGTATATTAATTTCCTTTTTCCCCAACTATTTCTCCCAGTCTCAACTGGCATTTATATACTCGTCAGACTCGTCCTCCATTCATTTTATCTGCAACCAAATTGCAAATTTCCATTCTTGGCTTTTTTCATTTCAGTTTAATGAAAGATGCGCAGAAGATGGTCAGTCGTTGCATTTACTTGAATATTCTGTTGCAGACCCGAGCACCGGATATACTCTCAAAGTAAGTTCTGCTGCATGTTTGTGGGGAATGCAGTTAGGTCTGCTAGTTTCAAAAGTAAGATGTTCAATGTGTTAAAAGCAAGCGAGATATTTTTTTAATGAATTCTGCTAACGGTACCATTAAGTTGCTGTTTTATTTTAATTTGATTCCTTAGCCTTTATTATGGCTTTTGGGCATTTTTTTTTTTTTTTTTTGCATCACTGTTCACTTGATCTGCTTTCAGTCAGATTCCAGTACATTGTTAACCTATTCATGGAATGGAATGAAGGAATATAAATGGGAGCAGTGATGATATTGAGAGGAGGGGGACATTATATTCAAGTTCTAATTCTGTATTCCTGGAAATTCTAAGAATTCGCTTATCTACTATTATGAAGCCAAAACAAAATATAAATATGCAATTTAAGTCTGTGAGTGTTTACACACACGTGTTATTGTTAGTTGCGAAGTCGTGTCCGACCCATCACGATCCCATGGACAACGTTCCTCCAGGCCTTCCTGCCCTCTGCCATCTTCTGCCTACTACTTCAGTACTCCATCCATCCACCTCATTCTCTGTCGTCCCCTTCTTCTATTGCCCTCAATCTTTCCCAGCATTAGGCTCTTCTCCAGTGAGTCCTTCCTTCTCATTAGGTGGCCAAAATACTTGAATTTCAACTTCAGGATCTGGCCTTCTAAAGAGCAGTCGGGGTTGATCTCCTCTAGGACTGACCGGTTTGATTGCCTTGCAGTCCAAAGGACTTGTAGGAGTCTTCTCCAGCACCATAGTTCAAAGGCCTCAATTCTTTGTCGCTCAGCCTTTCTTATGGTCCAACTTTCACAGCCATACATTGCAACTGGGAAAACTATGGCCTTGACTATACGTACATGTACAGTACACATATTCTTTGCAGTCATTACAATGTGATTTTTGCTTGACTTAAGATGTATATCCAGCTACTTGTAGTTATTCTATAACCTGTGTTTAATTAAGCAAGCTATAATATCATTCTACTTATGAACCATGATTTTGTCTCTTCATTCTATAGATTCATCAAAGTTGGTGGCTATAAACTCCTTAACACCTGGCTAACAAACTCGAAAGCATCCAGTAACGTACCCCTCCTCCAGCAGATCCTACTCACACTCCAACACTTACCTCTGACTGTGGATCATCTGAAACAAGTTAGTTAATTGCACAACAGTGGAGGTTATCCTTTTAATTTGGCCTTTTCAAGTTCAAAGCAAAAAATGTTTTGTCCCAAATTGGAAGGAAGGAAGGAAGAGGACTTGTGGGGTTGAATTTTTCTTCAGGTTTACATAATTCAGTACTCAAAACAATATTTCTAGTTTCAGGGGTGATAATCCGCAAGGGTACATCCTGTAGTTTTCATGTCCTATGACAAACTGTTCCTTTTCCTTTTTTTCAGAACAATACTGCCAAATTGGTGAAGCAGCTCAGCAAATCAAGTGACGACGAAGGTAATTGTCACTTGGCCATATACAGATATCTGATACTGGGCGCCATTCTGGGTTTGCAGGGTCCTGTTTGAAATTTTTTAATTAATTGAGTGCTTATACATTCTTTCCTTACTAGAGCTTCGTCGACTGGCTTCCATACTGGTGAGCGACTGGATGGGTGTGATCCGCTCTCAGAGTAGCTCCCAGCCTACAGGTTAGTGCAGTGATGGCGAACCTTTTAGAGACCGAGTGCCCAAGCTGCAACCCAAAACCCACTTATGCATCGTAGGGTCCCGGGTGGGTGTGGCCCACTGGGTGGTCGTGGCTGCGGTGGTAATGGCAGACTGGGTGGGACTAAAGAGTTCAATCAATCAAGTCCAACTTTGCAAGATCTTTTTTTTTCCCCGCGAGAAGTTGAAATTGACTGATTGAACCTTTTTTTTTTTTTTTTGCACACGACGGTGGAGGCCTAAAGCAAAAAGGTTTTATAAAACCCAGCTGAAGGCCTAGGACTGGGGTGACAGTGCGCGTGCCCACAGGTGGCCATAGGTTCACCACCACTGGGTTAGTGGTTTTATATGTCCACAGAAGCATGGACAGTGAAAGCTTTATTGTGGTGAAATCAGACTCTTACTGTAATAATCTGTGGGACCGCAGTGTTGCTTAAAATATATCCTCTACTTCGTATTCCAGGTGTGATGGAATGGGTGGGTAGCCTTGGGAGATGAGAAAAAGAGATGCTGTTTAGGAAACAATCAGACAAGAGAGACAGAGAATCGTTTTAAACATTCCTTGTTAACTCATAAGCTGTCTCCCCATTGTATTGGTTACATTTTTTTTTTTACACTTGATCTTAGCCAAAAGGCCAAGGAGTGATTGTGTTTGTGTATTGTCAGACACTGTGTAATGTTAGACTTTTAAAGTAGCTCTATAAGGCAAAAAATGTAATTAGATGTCGTGTTGTAAAAGAGGCACTTTCGGAAAGACTGGAAAGCACTCATCTTTTAGCCCTTCTAAGTCACTGGCTTTGCTTGCACTTTGCAGAACGAGAAAAGAAAAAACGAAAGGAAGAAAACAAAAACAAAGCACCTTCTGTTCAGGAGAAACCTCAGGAAACCAAATCGGAAGTGAAGCCCGAGGAGACTCCTGAAAAGAAGAAAGAAAAACCAAAATCTCTCCGCACCACAGCACCTAGCCATGCCAAATTTCGTTCCACAGGTAAGTGCAGTTAGAATTGTTAATGGCTGTGTAATTTGGTTAGAATTATCTTAATATAGCCTAGGATACAGGCGTAGGCTTTTTTTATGACTCATGGACTTCAACTCCCAGAATTCCTGAGCCAGCATGGCTCAGCTTGGAAACTTCTCCCTTTCCCTTCAGCATGGCTGGCTCAGGAATTCTGGGAGTTGAAGTCCACGAGTCATAAAAGAGCCGAGGTTGCCTACCCCTGCACTAGCACATTAAAAATGGGTAGAATCACAAGAGATATGTGAGAATGCTGAACACTTGCAAGGTTTTACTATCTGATGGGACAAGAGGGATCTTCTAGACCAGGGTTTACCGAACTGTGAGGAGAACCTCCCTTAGGAAAGCGAGACAAAGTCCAGGGGAGGTGTGAAGTACTTTTAGTTGTATATTATTATAATAATTCTGTCAGACCCAGAACCAAGAATAACAAGTGGTGATTCTTCCAAGGCAAGTCCTTTACTGTTTTGCCACCAACAGACCAAAACTTGCCAAACTAAAGACTTTACTACCTGACTACATGTACTGAATAACTGCTATCATGTCTCCCCTAGTCCTTCTTTTCATAGGACTAGATCAGGGGTAGGCAACCTTGACTCTTTTATGACTTGTGGACTTTAACTCCCAGAATTCCTGAGCCAGCATGGCTCAGCTTGGAAACCTCTCCCTGTCCCCTCAGCATGGCTGGCTCAGGAATTCTGGGAGTCATAGAAGCCCAGATTACCTACCCCAGGCCTAGCCAGAATTTCATTAGCCTTGGGCAAACAGCTCAATCCACGCTCATCGAATGTTCTGGGATTTTTAAATTGTTCTGTTACTTAACTATTGCTGCTTCCTTGTAGGTTTGGAAATGGAAACCCCCTCACTTATTCCTGTGAAAAAGAACATAAATACTTCAGTGACCTCTGATAAATATAGTTTCAAGCCAATACCGCTGAAAAGACAGATGTAAGTAATATGAGAAAAAAAATCACTTTGTCTCCTAATTTATCATATTGGGACTGAATCTGGCAATGTAGTTGTTCAAATGGTATAAGCCTGCACCTTTCTAGTTTGTAACCCAAACTTGATGGTTTACATTAGTGGGGAGAAATTTCTTGCTTCTTGTGCCTAGCAAAAGAAATGTAGTATTTGGAGATTAGAAGCTCAGGAAAGTTTGTTCACTGATAAAAGAGAATATTTGTACCTCAGGGTTGACATGAGTGGTCCTTCGTGCTCTCTGAGCGTGGTTGCTTTTTTGCAAACATCTCATTATCAAAACTAGGCAACGTGATCAGTGCATCCTAGTTAGGGCAATGAAATGTTTGCAAGAAAACAAACCAAGTTCAGAAACTACCAAGGACCCTAAGAGTTTGTTCAGTTTGCATTTTTATAAGAACTTGATATTCTCTAACTACTATATGAACTGGAATGCAATTACTTTGGCATTCAAACAATTACAGAATACAATTTTAAAGTCATAATTGGATATAAACATTTAGGTATTTAGGAAGTGCTCTTGAGAAATCTGATCTGGGCTTAAAGAGAAAATAGAAATAGGCAGGAGATTTCTGGGAGGACCCCAGCTAGGTTACTTGTTTTATCATTTATGCTAAACTGCATCCAAATAAACAAGCTCCTTCCAGAATGTCCCACGACATACTCTTTAAAATTCCAAATATTTCATCATCCCCCACAAAAATAGAAAATATTTGGTCTGGCTTGTCTGCCCCCAAAGAGACCTGTGGGGCTTTAGATAGGCTAAGTCAGTGGTTCTCAACCTTTCTAATGCCGCGACCCCATAATACAGTTCCCCATGTTGTGGTGACCCCCAACCACTTATACATCACCGGGTGCCAGGGGCATGGCCAAGAAAAGGGAAAAAATGGCAGACAGCCTTGTTTGGCGACCCCCGTGAAATGGTCATTCGACCCCAAATGGGGTCCCGACCCACAGGTTGAGAACCACTGGTATAGGTCAAAGGAGCAGAGGACAGGCACGGGGAAAACAAATATATACCTAGAAATGGGAATCTGTTTGGCATGAAAGACATTACCAACTCTGTGAACTATTCAGCGTCTTCCCTTTGACTGACTTGAGGACTGTTTTTCCCCATAGCGTAAACTCAATGACAGATAACCCACCTGTTGAGAAGAAATACAAACCCCTCAACACTACGCCCAATACTACCAAGGAAATTAAAGTGAAGATCATCCCCGCACAGCGTAAGGCTTTCTCCTTTTTCATAGCCATGGAGTTTAAGGAGCAACGTGGGCTAGATTAAAGGCACTGAGATCAGAAGTTGAATGTTTTGATCTTGCTTGTTAGTTAATTGCTGAGTTTCCCCCACTGAAATCTCTTCATGTTGATTAGGGATACGCAGATATTCAGTGCACAAAATGTTCCGTGCATATTAGCCAGGTTTTTGAACAATTGACGCTCAAATTGTACGCCTTGGACGTGTTTGATCGATAGGCTGTTTTGCTTCAGTGTAGAGTAAAACAGTTATCTTACACAGAACTAACTTTGGGTGATGGTTGGAAACAAGAGTGGTTAAAAGCCAAGAATGTTGGTGGAACTGACTGAGGAGGGACAGGGGAAGAGGCTACATTGGGACATCAATTCAGTAGTAGTGGCTTGGGAGAGAAGGAAAGGAAGGCTGTTCACATTGTTAGGAAACTTTTAGTACAGAATGGTTTTTAAGCCCTTCTCCATTTACTCTCCAGCTATGGAAGGACTGGGCTTTTTGGATGCCCTAAACTCTGCCCCTGTCCCAGAAATCAAGATTAAGAAGAAAAAGAAAGTCCTGTCTCCAACTGCAGCTAAGGTAGGACACATGCAGAGCCAGCAATCCTACTTTTGCAGAGATGGCTTTACATTTGGAAATCAACTGATTTGCTTTGTTTCTTGCGGTTCACAGCCAAGTCCTTTCGAAGGGAAGCCAGTCCCAGAGACTGTTGCTGCCAAGCCACCTTCACCAGAGCTGAACCCAGCTTCAGAGCCAATGGATGTGGATCGACCTGGTACCCCTGTGCCAGCCGTTGAGGTGCCCGAACCTATGGAAACAAGTAAGTGAGGGGAGAACTAACACATTCAGTGTTACAAGATGTAGCGGTAGGGTGATACTTTTCTCACCATTCTTGCCTAGGCTAGCAGCCTTTTTACTAGGGTACTAATCAGTCGGTCACTGGTGTTTGTTAGGCAAGTGGTATCTGGAACGCCATGACAGCCGAGGGTGCTTTGAGTGATGGCGAATTTTCTTTCCTTTGCCTATTCCAAGTGCTTGACGCGCGTCACGTGCTTTAAAGGATCGTTGCTGAACGGGTGGGTGCTTTTTTCAGATTCCTCTGAGCATGGAGGTTTATTGGATTCAAAGCCAACCGAGAGCCCAGCTGATTCAACCCAGTTGACAAAGAAGGGCAAAAAGAAGAAAACAGTGAGCTGGCCTGAGGAGAATAAACTGCGGGAGTATTTCTACTTTGAATTGGATGAGACGGAAAGAGGTGAGTGGTTCCCCCCCCCTTTTTTTTTTTTCCAAAAAGCAAATTGCAAAGATCCTGGGAAGTCTCACAGAGACATAGTTTTATGCCTGTCATCTGTCTAGAGCAGGGACTGTCAGCTTTTATTTGCTCCTGACCCCCCCCCCCCTTTACCTTTCTGATCCCTCTCACAATTAGCTGTAAGGATATTTATTGTAAACTAGTAATTACTTGATATTTGTAACTCTGAAGCTAATTCAGAGATTGAGATGTGAGGGCTAGGACAAATTGATCAAAGGCCTGACACTTGGGTGTTCCCCTCAGAGATGTACCCATATATGCTTATTCGCTGCTTATTTATTTAAAATATTTAAAGCATTTTGTGGACGTAGAAAGTTTTGTCTTATTAGCTAATCTTAGGCATTTGTTAAGTTCCGTGGAACTTTATTAAGTCTTACGGAAGCATGGAGTCCTTTAAATAGTTGTGCTGTGTATACCTGTATTTTTCCCTGTCGTCTTGTTATTGTATTTTTTTAATCATAGCTTTTAACTGTTTTAATCAGCTTTAATGGTTGGTTTTATTTGTTGTGCTTTAATTCTGTACACCTCCCAGAGTCATATGCAAATGAGGTAGGGGGCTGGATTAACTGAATAATAAGCAAATAAGTAAATAAATAAATGTGAAATACAATTTCTGTTCAATCTTTTACAGTTAATGTAAATAAGATCAAAGACTTTGGTGAGGCTGCCAAGCGAGAAATAATGTTGGATCGCCATGCCTTCGAGACAGCCCGTCGGCTTAGCCATGATGCGATGGAAGAGAAGGTCCCCTGGGTCTATCCAAAGCCCATTGATTTGCCCGCTCCACTGGTTCAGCCAGGAAGTGGCAGTCGGGAGAAGTTCACTCAAGCTGAGCGCGAGAAAGGCATTTTACAGGAAATCTTTCTCTCGAAAGAGAGGTGAGTAAACTATTGGACAGATTTGAAATGTATCTCTACGGAGGATACATATACAAGATTCTAAGCTGGAAAATACATGTGCATAGTTGACTTAGTAGTAATGAATTAAATATAAAAAGATCAATTCACGAACGTTACTCAGGAAGAGAGCAATGAGGACTTATTGCTGAGAAATTAAAAAAAAAAAACCCGCTGAAGGAAATCATACGGCTAGCCCAGGGGTAGGCAACCTTGGCTCTTTTATGACTGGTGGACTTCAACTCCCAGAATTCCTGAGCCAGCATGGCTCAGCTTGAAAACCTCTCCCTTTCCCCTCAGCATGGCTGGCTCAGGAATTCTGGGAGTTGAAGTCCACGAGTCATGAAAGAGCCAAGGTTGCCTACCCCTGGGCTAGTCCAATTTTTCTGTACTGCTTAGCATTTGAGCAATCCGGCTGTGCTTGTCCATTGGTGTTTCTGTGGGAGGAGGAAGAGCTTTATAATTCATATATTGTCCAAAGATTTAAATCTCCTACTTTTAACATTCCAGTTATCTCGGCTAATACAAATTGAACATTTTTTTCCTCATCTTTATTAACATCAAACTGATGTTTTTTTGTCTTTTTTTTTTTTTTCCTTAAGTGTTCCTGACAGCCCTCATGAGCCAGACCCAGAGTCCTATGAGCCAGTGCCACCCAAGCTGATTCCTTTAGATGAGGTAAATATGCTTGGTCCTTTTTTTTTATTCCACCCTCTTTATTTTAAACAGACAAAACGTAAGTGGGCTGTAGTAAAGTGGGAATGATAGGTCAGAGCTTACCTTTAAATTATAAAATAGGACAAGTATTCTTTTAGCTCAGGATACTTAATAGGTAAGGCTCCCGTTCCATATATATATTTACCAAAGAACTTTCTAAAGATGTCCTGTGTGCTGTAACCTTTCCCCCTCTCTATGTTTCTGTTTCCTTTGTGCGTAACAGAAACAGAGTGGAGATGGGGAACATTTCTTAATGTACCTGCTTTGCCTTAGGGTCCTCCAGCCCCTCCCCCCCTTTTGTATGCCCCAAGTTCTGGTTGCCAGTCTCCCCCACTTTGGGTTTGAGCTCCCAGCTCCCCAGCAGCCAATTCCTCCTGACTCCTTGTGTCTCCTCTGTCACCCCTCTCAGGAATGCTCCATGGATGAGGCCACCTACGATGAAAGACTCGACCCATCTGCCTCGCAGTCTCCGGACGGAGCTGGGGGCTCCAAGCTCCCCCCGGTCCTGGCCAACCTCATGGGCAGCATGGGGGCAGGCAAGAATCCGCAGGGCCCCAACCCCAGCTCTTCCATCAACATGCAAGAGATTCTCACCTCCATCATGGTAACTAGAAGCGTCGTAGGATAGCTTTTTTTTTTAAATAGTGGAAACGATGATTGATTGAGAAAGCCGTGAATATGGCCATTGAGACACGCTTGCCATCTGCCTTGAAGATAGCACAGAACCTTAAATGATTCCCCAGCTCACCTTTGTCATATTGCCCAAATACCTCCCCCCAAAAAATGTAGGTTCCAGAAAATAAAGACTAGGATAACAACAAAGAATAGGAGAGTTTCCAAGTTATCAATAAGTGAAGCTGATAAATGGGATTCTTTCTTGAAACCCATTTTCTGCTCCAAGTCAGGTCTCTTATGCAAAGGGTACAAGACTGAATCATTCACTGATGTGGCAAGATAGCATTTTAAAGCAGGTTTATGTATAGGATCAGCGCAGCAAAAGGAGGTAGGAAGGTTAAGAAACAAAACATGTTCTAATTTCTTCGATTTCTCGATTTTATTTTGTGCAGGGTGGCTCAAACAATCATAAAACAGAGGAGTTGATGAAGCAGCCTGATTATTCTGACAAGATTAAGCACTTGCTTGGCAATTTGCAGGGCCAGCCTGGACCAGGTCCTTCAGCAGGAGGTAAGAGAATAGGCAGATCGACGGGCTGTTTTTCCTTAGCTGTTAACTCGCATCCAGCTGAATTTGTTTCATTCCCATTAAACACGTCTAACGTGTCAGGCTTGTATTCCCCTTATTAGATTTGAAAATGGAAACCCAGTTACTGTAGATACAAGTCTACTTCAGTGTCCTTAAAAGACAAAAAGATACTTTAGTCAGGCTAGCTGTTGTTTATTTCTGGTATTGGTTTAATTAACAGCTTTTTTGCTTTTCTTACAGTCCCACATGGGCTCCTTGGACCAGGACCTGGCCCGGTCCCCAATGGATTCCCGCCAGGGCCCAAAAATATGCAACACTTCCCTCCTGGAGGGCCAGGACCTATGCCTGGTAAGCGGAGATCTGTTAATCAGGGAGGGGAACAGTTTGAGATGGGGTGGCAAGTGAGGAGGGCATGGTCTACCGAGGGCTGTGAAGATGGTGGATGGAGGTCTTAACGGATCTGAAGCTAACTTAACCTCACACCTTTTCTCCCTTCCCTAGGACCCCATGGAGGCCCAGGCGGTCCTAACATGCCCCCAGGCCCTGGGGTGCCCAATGGACCGCGGATGATGGGTCCACCTCCTCCCCAGTGTAATGATGGATACTGGGATCCTCCCGATGGTGGCATGCGTGGTGGGCCCCACGGAAGCATGAGAGGTGGCAGTCCTGGCCCGGGACCCGGACCCGGCCCTTTCCATCGTGGCCGTGGTGGCAGAGGTGGAGAGCCTCCTTTCCGAGGGCGAGGCGGACGGAGTGGTGGTCCCCCCAATGGTAGGGGGGGCCCTCCCAACAACAGCATGGGCGGTGGCCATGGAGGGGGACACGGCAGCAGTGGACATGGAGGGGGACATGGTGGTGGCCACGGAGGTCACGGAGGAGGGGGCCACCCAGGGGACCACGGCAGGGGACATCCAGGCGGTCATCCAGGGGACCACAGCCGGGGACATCCAGGCGGTCATCCAGGGGACCACGGCCGGGGATATCCAGGGGACCACGGCAGGGGACATCCAGGGGACCATGGCAGAGGTCACCCAGGGGACCACGGCTGGGGGCACGGAGGCGGCCACGGTGGAGGTAAATATGCATTCCTGTGCCCATTGGGGGATGGGATTTTTAAAGGGATTGGCCTAGCGTTCTGAGTTGCATGGGGAAGCAGGCCGCCATAAAAGCAAGTTAGGGGGGTGGCATTTTATTACCGGGGTTTTGGGGGTTGGGCGGGCAGGGTTCTTCTAAAAAGCAAATACTTCGAAGAAGCGTAGTAATGTCGAGCTAGGTTTTAAAATAAAATAATTTACTTTAAAGCCCTGCAATTTGCCGTTTGAGAATTGTGATCTTAGCGTTCTGGGTGGAGTTGTGCTGGACAGAGAACAGTGGGCTTGCTGGGAGAAGTGATACACATGACGTTCCTGCATGTTCCTGTTGCCATGGCTGACGGCTCTGTTTGTTCCTTCTGCCCTTCAGATAGGTCAAAGCGTCCCGTATGTCGCCACTTCACTATGAAAGGCAGCTGCAGATACGAAAACAACTGTGCCTTCTACCATCCCGGAGTGAATGGGCCACCCTTGCCCTAGCATAAGGAGCCTGCGTCCTCCTCACCCATTCTGACTGTGGCATCGGGTGCACATTCCCTCCCATTGACCTTGAACTCAGCCTGGCGCTCCGATTTCTGACTGATGCTGCACCTGCTTGTTATGGCTTCTGTGAGGCCCTTTAAATGCTTGGAGCAAGGGAATGTGACTAACTTCCTCCTTCGGCATTTGCTGCTGCTACTGATGAACTGCCACACACACCCTCGAGAGAGAAACTGTTGGGAGGCATCTTCCCCGTCTCCAGCTGGGGAGGTGAAGCAACCAATGACTTTGAAAGCACAAGAGACTTGAAAGATGTTTTTTTGTTTTTTGTTTTTATTTTAAAGCAATTTATGTAAATATACCTGTGGAACCAGCAAAGGAAGGGGATATTCTTGCTCACAGCCTTGATTTGACTGGGCAGTGTTGCTTCAACTTCCCAGGAACCAGACTGGTACTGATGAATTGCTTTGGTCTGGAGGAAGACCTGGCATCGGCAGGAAAACCGTCCTTTTAGGAACATGCGCGTGAGGCAGGGGAGAGGGTGCAGCAACTGCTTGTGGATTGTTCTGGGAGATCCGAAGGCTGGAAATCTATTGCTCCTGCCTAAAAAGCCCAATGGGAGAACGGGGAATTCCAGCAGCCGCCACTTGCACAATACCCTCTTGAACCAGGATGTCCCTTTGTAAAATACCCCTTTGCAGTGCCCTGTTGACTGCACAGATGTGGTTTCCCTTGGTGCTAAGTCTGCCATTGGGGGAAACCTACAAACTGTTTTCTGTGAAAACTAAATCTGGAGACTAATGGTTTAGGGGGTAAACTTTTGTTTTCCTGATTTACACTGTTGGTTGTGGGTTTTTTTTAAAAAAACGGTCTCATGAGATGTGGACTCTCAACATCTTTCATCTCCCCTCATCCTGAAGTGGGTGCAGCAAACCCTTCTCCTGAGGGGGAACAAAATGTCTTGCTCTAAGTTTTGTATATTTTGTACATTAGTAATAAACATGGTGAAAAAAAGAAATATCTAATTTAACTATTAGCAGTGTGGACATATTCATTGCTGAGCTTGGAAATTGCATTCTGTTAGCCAAAATCAAATAAAATTTTCCGGGTCTTTAAAATGTACATTAACCAGCCAGTTACGTAGGGCTTGAAGATGCTAGAACTACTGTATTGGACAATTTTGAGATAAATAATAATGATACTCTTTGGTGAGAGGATGGAAGGGAAAATCCATATACTCAGTTCTAGGCTGTTTTCAATTCTCCCGAGTATGAAGCAAGTACTTATTGGAAGTTGCTTGGATGGTCTCTGTTATTGGTCAAGCCAGCCCTTGACCCCGTTACCCTGGGTTAAAAATAACACCAATAAATGTTTGATCCTGGGGTGGGGGAAGGTGTTCAGTATTTCTTTGGAAGAATTTTGGCAAAGACTATACCCATTCTTTCAGAAACTATTTCTAGGAAACACCAAAGGTGTTCATCTGTACCTTTTACAAATTAAATGTTTGAAAATGATTTGAAAATTGTCCTGAAGAGAAACATTGCCTAAATATTTCCTCAGGAAAAATGAGAAGATAAGTTGTTCTTCTAAATCTAAATGATTGCAGCCCACAGAGGTGCGTGTTAGTGAATAGTACAAGTTCCTTTGGAAGGTGGTATGTACACACGGGTAAAGGCAGTCAAATGGAATCAGTAAGATGTGTATAATCTTGTAAAATATTACAAGATTTATAAAAGACTTTACTTTCGGTACCAACATGACTTTAAAGAAAAAAAAATCAAGTGTTTTTTTACAGCATGCAGTACATTCTTGCAAGGTCATCTTTTCTCGTATGTCATCCACCAAGTACCACATGAAAACAGTATGTGAAAAATAATTTTGTTAATGTAAGATTGAAACCATGCCTTTTCTGTGTGTATTTTTTTTTTCTGTTGAACAAAGCTGTTTTTTAAAATAATTTGGAGAAGTTTGCATTCTCCCTCCACGTTCCGGACATTAATGAACTAAAAGGCCAGTTGCTCCTTTTGGTAACCATTGTTTTCAACGGTAGCTAAGCTTTTCTAGCTTTCTCATGCTACTGTGCTTCTGATTATCTCAAGTTTAAGTACTATTCCCCTCAGAAGTCTTGCTTTTTATTGAGCTTCCTCCCTGGAGAGGACCGTTAGGCGTGAGTTGGTGTGGAGAAGAACGAGTTAGTCATGTTTATCTTCCATAGCATTGCCTGTTTTCCACAGGAAAAGTGCTGAGGGCCAAACTACAGAAACCCAAGAAAAAGCAAAATACAATACAGAACATTGACTTAGAATAAAACTAGTTGTTTTACGGGTGAGATGGGTGGCATATACATTTAATAATAAATAAATACATTTCTAAGAAGTTTGTTGAAAACAGTACCGTGTGTCTAGCTCTTAAGGTCAGTTACTCCTCACACAAGAATTTCCTACGAATTTAGTTATTTGCTCAGTTCCATTTTAAGTAATCTTGGAATTGATACCCAAAATGGTGGCTTAGTACGGGTCTGCAACCTTGACGACTTTAAGACTTGTGGACTTCAGCTTCCAGAATCCCTCAGCCAGCATAGTTAGCTGAGGAATTCTGGGAGCTGAAGTCCACAAGTCTTAAAGTTGTCAAAGTTGCAGACCCCTGGCTCAGAAGACAGATAAGAATTTTGACAGTTTCTTATTTAAATAACCACACAACAATGGTAGTGCATTAGCCTTCGCAATTAACAGGACCTGAGGTAGGTGGAGATTTGAACCACATGATACAAAAGCCAGGTGAAAACTGAAACATTCTACAGGACAGCCTTAAGGCAGGATAATTGGCGCCACAAAAAAAAAAACAATTGCAATAATCTTAAGAGGTAACCAAAGAATTACACCTGGAGTAGAAGGTGTCTTTGTCATGGTTGGCTCTCTGAGTTTTTGCCATGGTTAATATCCTAACTAAACTTTGGCCAGAATTTTGCTTCCTTCCAAAGAGGTGCAATGAAAGTGGGATTAAGTATAGGTCCATATAAAGAATCTGGGTTAACAGTTATTAAAAAGACATCAACTGGTTGCTTATGCCCAGAGTCCATTTGTAAACATCTACCAGGAAAACCACTATCTCCGGTTTAAAACTACATAAACCACTCAGAGTGGCTCTAACAGTGTGATGGCCAGCATATAAACTTAATAAATAACCTACATGATGCAAATAGGCTGATTTAAAAGGTAGCTAATTCCTAGCATAAAGCATGCTTATTACCTGTCGCTCAATTATCTTCCCCCTGCAGTAAACATACTGTTTTCTTGTAGGGTTTCCTTGTAGTGGCAGGGATTCTACACATTATACTAAGTCATGTTTTGCTACAAGAATCATACCCTGCAATCATGGTTGCTAAAAACCACAGTAATTAGGCTACCTAACAGATTAAGCCCAAACTGAACATTATAACAGCATGCTGTGTGCATTGGCCCAGTATTATAAACACTTCTTGTATGCAGGATGGATTTGAGGTTGATTACAGTGTGCAGATTGTAGGCTAGTATCTTAGCATGCCCTGGGAATTCTCAAGCAGCATCGGGATTTGGATCTAGAGATGACTGCAGCATTATTGAAACCTTTACTGAACTAAAGAGTACTTAAATGAAGCTCATCTGTATGACTGCAAGAGAATTAATCCATGGTCGGTATGATTTTCTCTTGTGTTTTTGATACAAATGGTTAAAAGCTAGAAATTCATCACAGAATTAGGTAAACAGGAAACAAAGGACCACATTTTACTTTCAGTTGAGGGTGGAAGGAAATGTTCATTCTTGATTCTCCCAAGAGTCAGTTTCAATAACAAATCACCTGACTGCAAAGGCTAAAATGTGAGTAAAAAACATGGTGCATGCGTACTTCATTTTGTACTATGTATTCTGGTGTGGGTTTTTAGAAAGCTATTTATTGATTTTTAAGTACAGCAAAAGGGGGCACTTCACCCTGATACAGTGGCCTCCAATCAAGTCTCTGTTGTGCATCTGGGCAAATGCTGAAGGAACATCCTTAGTACATACTGGTATTGATCAACACCCTGCTGCTCCAGGGGTGGGCAAGCCAACTAATTACTATGTAATATCAGAAGGCTAAATCCATCCAATTTGCTACTTACCATGTATTGCTCTGTCAACAATCCTATAGCAAGGAAATAAATTTTAAATAACATGGGAAAATTGTGTTGACACTACAAAAAACAAGATACCTGTTTAATTTTACTTTATGTTATGTATTATATATTGTTTTCTTGTAATTCTAATGGTATCAATGTTAATATTTGTATAACATTGGAAGATGAATTCAATATGTACAATTTAATAAAGAGAAAATGGAGGAAAACAACTTGGATATTGGAATTTCAAAGACCTCTTGCTGTAAATATTTTCCTCTCCTACAACTACTCAAAAACATCCATTCTCTGACTGGTCCACATACATAAAGCATTTTATCTATGAAAAAAGTGCAAATACAGTCATGTATTTCTTCCACATTATTGGTAATGGCAGGTCATCTGAACAGATTTTGATTCAAATGCTAAAGACTTAACACACTATTGACTTTTGCCTATGGCCTACCACTTGGAAAAAGAGTTTTATCTCATCAAAAATATAATGTTTGAAACCTATTTTCTTTGGGGAAAATGCATTTGGACCAAGCTCACTGCTATGCGGATCAAAACAGGAGACTACTTAAGAAATTGTTTGACTTTTGGACTTCCGGTTTGATGCCTCGGCCACCGCAGACGTTTGGAAGGCAAACTCCATCATCCACATCTGATTTTGCATCACTGGGGGACCCTGGAAAGGGTCGAAAGTCGCCCTGTAGGGATGACCGGCAAGGAGGGGATTCCCGCTTGATCATGGGAGGGCGGTAGCCCTTCCGTTTGATCCAGCACAGCCCTCCAAACTGGTGGACAAAAGACCAGCCGTAGCAATATGGTCACTAGGCTGCAGACAGCCGAAGTCAAACTTACTACCAGGCACCTATAAAGCAGCACGGATGAGACTGGGTGAGATCTGAACCTCTTTTTAATCTGAACTATTTTTTTACCTGTATAAGCTGCCCAAGATATTTTCTCCCCTGTGGAGAGAGGGAAGGGAAACTTTATCCCACCCTCTAAAAACAGCGGCGACTGACTATCCAGGGGAGTTTAAAACATCGAAACAATAACCTGATTTTAACTGGACTTTTATCTTTCCAAAATTTGAAGATTAAAAGATTTTCTATCCTTATTGAAGAGTCAGGTTTTTATTTACAAAAAAGAAGGAAAATTGGGAAAAGGACTATAAAAATCTTGGACTTAAAAAAAAATCCTAAATGGTATGGGCGTCATCTTGTGGCTAAACCTGATATTGCAATCTGTTACCGTCTAGAAGAGATTTGGCTTGAAGCCCAGACTATAGATAAGACTTTTGTAACCGTGGCAATCAGGTGTGAGAAGCCCAGCTGTGCTCTATACTCAATGATAAAATTATTTTTACTCTCTGATTGTAAAGCTTTTAATTCACACCATTAAGAAAACATGGATGAAGATCAGGAACAGATTTTATTTATGTTGAAAGCAATTCATGAAACTATTCTTAAAGCCACTGATGAAATAAGAGGCTACAGAAAAGAACAAGATGTCAGCCTAGAGATACGAACTCAAACTTTGATTACAACCAAAATATAATAGAAGTGGAGCAATTAAATATTATGAAAGAAGATTCAACTGACCAACAAACACAGTTAATGGAAAACTCAGAAAAGGGATTGACAACTTTGAAAATGGAAAAGACTTTTCATATAAACCAGAAGAAACCTGAGGATCAAGAACAGACCGAAGGGAAGATAAACATTTCAGGACAACTACGCTGAGAGAGAAAAATAGGGAGACAATTTGTTAGCCCCTTTAAAAAAATGGTGATCAGATGGCCTTTCTTACTTCAAGCAATATACATAATAATAGAGGAAGATTTATATGATGATTTAAAAGCGCAGATATGGAAGGCGAATTGGCAAAGAAAA